CCTGCTGGTCGTTGACGACTACTCGCGTTACACCACAGTCTTCCCCTTGCGCAGCAAGGGTGAGGTCCCTGAGGTGTTGATCGACTGGATCCGCGGTGCCCGTCGCCAGCTCAGCGAGAGTTTCGGCTCGGACCTTCCTGTTCTGCGTCTGCACTCAGACAGAGGTGGTGAGTTTTCCTCCGACCTCCTGAGGGCCTTCTGTCGTGCGGAGGGCATCCGCCAGACGTTCACGCTTCTGGCCTCTCCACAGCAAAATGGGATTGCTGAGCGCCGCATTGGCATGGTCATGGATGTCGCTCGTACATCCATGATCCATGCGGCTGCTCCCCATTTTCTGTGGCCGTTCGCGGTTCAGTACGCTGCGCATCAGATCAACCTTCAGCCTCGTGTCTCCTTACCGGAGACCACACCTACTCTGAGGTGGACGGGGAAGGTTGGCGATGCGTCCGCGTTCCGTGTCTGGGGATCTCGAGCTTTTGTCCGCGATACTTCAGCGGACAAGCTGTCCTCCCGTGCCGTTCCCTGTGTCTTCCTTGGCTTCCCTCCTGACGCACCCAGGTGGCAGTTCTACCACCCCACCTCGCGTCGTGTTCTGTCCTCTCTGGACGTCATGTTTGACGAGTCGGTGTCTTACTACCGTCTCTTTCCCTACCGCACTGCCTCTCTCCCCCCCCGCCGCTCTTCCTAGCACCAGGTACTCCCCCGGTAGACCCCCTCCCCCCCTCGGGTCCTGCCCCCTCAGGTGTGTCCCAAGTTGACCCTGCCGAGCCTGTCGAGGTAGCTGTCGACTCAGGTGCTGCTAGGGGTGCTGAGCCTGCGGGTGCGGAGACTGGGGGTGCGAGGACTGGGGGTGCTGAGTCTGGGGGTGCTGAGTCTTGGCGTGCTGAGCCTGGGGGTGCTGAGCCTGGGCGTTTGGAGCCTGAGGGTACTGCGTCTGGAGGTGCTGAGCCTGCGCGTGCTGATTCTGGAGGTGCTCTAGGTGTCCCGTCGCGACGGGAGCCCCTCTCTCCACAGCAGCTTCGTGAGTGGTACTCTCGGCGCTGTCGAGGTGCTGCTGGTGCTGGTGCTGCTGGAGCTGCTGGAGGTGCTGCTGGTGCTGGAGCTGCTGGAGGTGCTGCTGGTGCTGCTGGCGGTGCTACTGGTGCTGGAGGTGCTGCTGGTGCTGGAGCTGCAGGAGGTGCTCCTGGTGCTGGAGGTGCTGGAGCTGCTGGAGGTGCTGCTGGGACTGGAGGTGCTGCTGGGACTGGAGGTGCTGCTGGGACTGGAGACCCTGGGGCTGAGGGTACCGGTTCTATCTCTGGTGTTTCTGGAGGCGCTGCGCGGCCGCAGCCGTACTACGTTCCACTCCTTCAGCAGGTTCTTGGTTCCCCGCCTTCTCCTGGTCCTCCTCCTCCTTTCCTGAGTCCACCGCCTGTCCAGTCCCAGTTGCAGTTCCAGCCAGCCTCTCCACTGCCTGGTCCTTCTCCTTACTCTGGACCGACTAGAGGTCTTACGGAGTGTCGTGAGCCTGAGTCGCGTCCTGTGTCACCTGAGTCTCGTTCTGCGTCGCCTGTCCGTACTGTTCGCGCTGGTCGTGTTTCGCGTCCACGTCCTCCTCCTGTCCCTGGCTCTCACTCTATGACTCTGCGTCCTTCCACTGCTCCACAGCGTGTCCCTCTGCCGTCTCCTCCTGCGTCCTCTCTTCCTGCTGGTCCGGACCCTGCGTCTGACTCCCTTCGTGCTGCTAGTCCAGCTGTCACGCGCTTTCTGGCCACTGCTGTCACTGACCCTTTGTTTGAGTCCACTGCTGCGTCTGCTCTTGTAATTGAGCTTGTTGACTTTGCTGCAGCCTGTCGCCTAGACTACGCCACTAGTCTTGTTGCTGAGTCTGCGTCTGCGTCTGTCTGTCCTCCGTCCGTCGGAGGTGAGTGCGCTCTTGGCACGGACGTTCTTGAGGACAGATAGGAGGAGTTAGCGGCAGCTGCAACAGTGGGAACGAAAGGAGGAGGAGGGGAAGGGAAACAGACCACCCATCACCCCCATACCCGCCACCCCCATACCCTCCGTTCCACGGCTGCACGCGCAGCAGGGAGACGAAGAAGGGGGGGGGGGGGGGGGGGGGGGGGGGGGGGGGGGGGGAGGGGGGAGAGCAGCAACGGGCGGCAATGGGCAGCACAGGGAGGCGGCTGCACCGGGTCCAGGGGCGGCGTCGCGGGGTCCAGGGGCGGCTGCTCCAGGGGCCAGGGGCGGCTGCTGAGGTCCAGGGGCGGCTGCACCAGGGGCGGCTGCTCCAGGGGCCAGGGGCGGCTGCTCCAGGGGCCAGGGGTGGCTGCTCCAGGGGCCAGGGGCGGCTGCTCTGGGTCCAGGGGCGGCTGCTCCAGGGGCGGCTGCACTAGGGGCGGCTGCTCCGCGCGCGGCCCCCTCAGGTCGCCTCGACAGGCGACGGGAAAAGAGGGGGGGGGGGTGCGCGGGCCCCCTGTGTGCCGTGACAGGCGACGAACCCGCCGCGCACCACGGGGCGCACGACGGGCAGGCAGGGCACCGTCGCGCGCCACGGGGCGCACGACGGGCAGGCAGGGCACCGTCGCGCACCACGGGGCGCACGACGGGCAGGCAGGGCACCGTCGCGCGCCACGGGGCGCACGACGGGCAGGCAGGCAGGGCACCGTCGCGCACCTCGGGGCGCACGACGGGCAGGCAGGCAGGCAGACGCCGCGCGCCCGGGGCGCACGGCGGGCAGAAAAAACCGCCGTGCGCCCCGAGCACACGGCGGGCAGAAAATCGCCGCGCGCCCGAGGCGCGCGACAGGACGACAGGCAGCGGAAGCAGTCTGGTGGGCCCGTTAAGGAAGGCAGCAGGAAGGTCCCTGCTCTGAATACCATGTCAAAATAGAAGGCAAAAGTAGGGCCTAGGCTTAGTAGCCTAGGCCAAGGGGAGTCGAGGTGGTTTGTGCCAAGGAGAGAGAAATGGGAATGGTGTTCACTATAGCACTAGGGTACATATAGCAAACAAAGAGGTGCACCACCTATAAAGCTAATATCTACACCCGGGAGCTTCCGTTGACTTTGCAGCTGGTCTTGTGCCTTCTTCTGTCTGTAGGCCAGAGACTGGAGGTTGAGTAGGGGTGGTGCCGAGATATCCGTTGGAGGAGCTCCTCTCCTTTTGTGTAGCCATGACTTGTATTGTAAAGGGTTTAAAAGTGATCTTGTCCTGCCTTGCTCTCATACCATGTTGGGCTGAGAAAAAACCCTTAGGAACTTCCAGGACTAAGATCAGGTGTTGAAGAAGATGTTGTAATTGCGGAAGCGTTGTAATATCAGAGTTGCTTGAACCACCTCGTACTAGTGTGTGAGAACAAGATAAGTTGATAATAACAAAGAAGTACAAGGCTTTTATATGATTACAAAGGAATATGGAAAGTTCTATTTTAACTGTTTTTTCTGTTGCGGTTCGATACAGTGCCGACTCGGGTAACTGCTCTGTAACGAGTCAGTTATGTGTCCTTGCTGTCGCACTGTACGTTTCGTCAGGTCAAAGGTCGGAGACCTTTGACCTTCGCGCAACCTCCGACGGTTACCTTGGTTGACTCGAGTGCTTCTTCGCTGTAGTCAGTTCCGTTTTGTGTCGAAGCTTCGATACTACAGAAGCGTTATAAGTCACTTGTTTCCAACAGATACAATGAAGTGTCGAGCAACTTACTGTACCCCCAAGGCTAAACCCACGACAGCCTAGATAGTAGAAAACATATAATTTGACAGGTAACGTTTCACTGTTTGGGTGCCGTTGGCGGGAATGGTCTTGTACGCGGTAAGCAGGGGCGTGAAGTAAGGAAAAGGATTTTTCCTTACAATTACGCACAGTTTCAGGAAAATCACAGAAGATTAATTATAGTAATATTCAGTGTATAAGTGATCCCGTAGCGCACGTGCTGACAGCACAAATCACGTTCCCAGTCAGAAATTGTTCGCGCCTCAGCGAACGCTGCAGTGACTTTCAAGTGCTTCACGAGAATCACGAAAACGCATTTTCAAACTCAAATGCCTTCTTGACATTTGCTTGCACCTTTGAACTGTGGTAACCCACCCCACAGCACAGCGAAGCGCAATGTTTATGTTGGTGGTGCCCAAGGTTGGCAAGGAGGGGCAAGGGGAAAAGCTGGTGCTGCTAATGGCGTGTCTGAATTGTTTTAGATTCGTAATTTAGGTCGAACTTAATATGATTACCGAATTCGCCAATGTCGCCGACACGGTTGGCGAAATGCACTCTAAATCGGAAACACAAATGCGACCAACAAAAAGTGAACAAGGCTCGAATCTACGCACGAACGTGAGAGTGCACGATGAACCGAACATGTGTTATTTTGGGCACGCAAGAGAAGTTGACGAATTTCGCGATTTGTTCGTGCACCAATGAACGCACCATCGAAACCAGGTAAACAGTTCGTCTTGCAGAGCTAGACGACACCAGGTAACCTAAATAACCTACGGGCGGCTCGGCTCACCCCCTATAAGGTCGAACGTGCAAAATCGAACTTGGGTGTGTGGTTGTGCTTCAACCGTTTGCGAGAACTTCGCCTTCAACGAAAACGCAAACTTATACCAAAAACAAAATCATACACGCCCTAATCTTTGTTGTCCCTCCTGCCTCTGCTCTCGACTCTTGTCTTGGAACTGCAGCCTGAAACTCATCGGTTATTAGCGAGCTGACAGTACAGTAGAGTTTCGGAATAAACCACCGTCGCAGTTTCCAGAGTGTCTAGAGCTGGTGGTTCCACTAGATTGGCTATTTCGTTCACGCAAGCTAGGAGCGCATTTTGTTTTCCGGGAACCGCCGAATAAAACGGCAAAGAGCGACGAGCCGCATCACGTTTAATAAGCCGTTCTGCCGGGGGTAGAAGTCCCATTCGAAGTTTCGAATGTTCCAATCACGAACGTAGGTACCAAGAAATACCAGCAGACCTTGCCACTTAGTCACATCAGAGACTTTTCGAGCAATCCACTTTAACTCGAGTGCTTGTCGAAATGTTTCCGACGACACGCGTCTTCGACGCGCGGCTGACACGTGTCGTGCTGCTCCTGTTGGTCGGCGCGACCGTGGCTTACGGCGGCGCGCCATGCGAGCCGTCTTCCCTGCGCGGGTTCACCAATTCCGTTGACCTATCGGGAAACGGGTGAGTGGAAATGGGTCGAAATGGGTGCATGTGAATGCATATGGGTGCAAATGTATGTGTGGAAACGGGTGAGTGGACATGACTGAGTGCACTGCGTGAGCTAAATGTGCTTATCCGTGTAGTGTGAAAAATATATTTCCTGTAACGTGCACATCCGAATGTTGAGTAGAAGAAGCATTTTTGAAAGAAATGAGCTGAAGTGGGTGAGCGGAACGTGCTCATCTACGCCCCGTCTTCGGCTCTCTTCCTCCGCCCTTCCCCCTCTCCTCCCCCTCTCCGCTCTCCCGCCTCCCCCCACCCGCCCCGCCCCCAGTCTCGTGCTGCACTGGGCGCGCAACGCCTCTAATCTGCAGCTCGCACTAGAAGCCAAACCGGCCAGTGGGGCCGAGTCCGGCTGGTTCTCCCAGAAACTGGCCGTCGTTCATTCGCTAACCCCCACCCCTTGCACCGCGCCTCTTTCCCCATTCCTCCCCCAGTCTCGTGCTCCACTGGGCCCGCAACGCCTCTCACCTGGAGCTCGCACTAGAAGCCAAACCCGCCAGTGGGGCCGAGTCCGGCTGGTTCTCCCTCCATTGTTCACTGTCCCTCTTCTGTCCCCCTCCTGTCCCCCCTCCTGTCCCCAACCGTTCCCCAGTCTCGTGCTACATTGGACCCGCAACGCCTCTCATCTGCAGATCGCACTAGAAGCCAAACCCGCCAGTGGGGCCGAGTCCGGCTGGTTCTCCGTCGGCTGGACGGCAAACCGTGGCCGTATGTACCCCGCGGATTGCGTTATCGGGAACCTTCCGGGAAGCAGCGTGGGCGCGTATCGAATCTCCGGATACAGCCGGTCTGACGTGGCGCCTTCTGATAGGTTCAAGATCGGGAGGCCTGTGCTGTCAGGGGGAAGCAATGGCGGGACAATCATAAGGTGAGAAAGCAACTGAGATCCTGAAAGCAAAAAGAGGGCTTTCGTCTGAAAAAATTGGGGCCACTGATGTTACCTCGAACTAATCCTAAACTTGCCGCGAAGTAACCTTCCAGTACCCCGATGTAAACTTTGAACCATTACCCCGAGGTGCTCGTGGGGCAATGGTTCAAAGTGAACACATGGTCACGATGTGACCTACAGGGTCACCTACAGGGCTATGGTCTGACTTCAGCAATCGTCGTAACATGTCTCCAATGCTAGTTACTGTTGGCGAATTTTCGCTTCGACGAGAAATTTCTTCGCCTGTTGTCGGCTGGATCGCTTGGGCCCTGTGCCAATTCTGTGGAGAACTTGGGTACCTGATTGTGACTTTGGGTCCTCTTCGGGATGAGTTTGCATGAAGTTGGCGTACGTAGCCCCGAGCCGAGGTAACCTGCGTTGCGGGTGAGTTGCCCCCCCCCCAACCCCCCTGATTTTTGAGACGTTGATTGCACGTCGAGAGTAATGGCGGGAGGATTGTAAGGTGAGAAGACAACAGAACATGGAGTCGAGAGAGGGGGCGTCGAAAGTAATCATAATATGGGGTTTCGCCTCTCTTGCCTGCATGTCACGTGAAGAAAGTGTAGTTTTGACACGTCTGTTCTTTCACATGAGCAGCAGCAGGAGAATCATCATCTGGGGTTTCGCCTCTCTTGCCTTTTGAGACGTCTCAAAAATCCACTTTTGAGACGGCTAAACAAACGGGAGGTCACAGGGAGCATGAGCGGCAGCAGGAGCATCATCATCATCTGGGGTTTCGCCTCTTTTGCCTGCATGTCAGTAAGTTTCCGTGGCAGCAACAGCATCTTCTAGGCCTTTTCCTCCCTTCCCACCCTCTCTTCTCCTCAAACCCCCTCCCTCTACCCTCCCCTTTTTGCAGGTTCTCTCGTTCTCGAGGGGACGGAGGGGCGGCACCAGTGAGTTTCACTGGCAGCAACAGCCTCAAATGGACCTTTCCCCTCTCAACTTGTTCTCCCACTCTCTCCTGACTGCAGGTTCTCTCGTTCTCGAGGGGACGCCAGTGAGATTCACTGGCAGCAACAACCATCTGAACCTTTTCCCTCACCTTGTTCTCCCACTCTCTCCTTCCTGCAGGTTCTCTCGTTCTCGAGGGGACGGAGGGGCGGCACCAGTGAGCTTCAGTGGCAGCAACAGTCTAATCTGGACTTTCTCCTTTCCCTCTCACCCTCTCTCCGCCTCAACCCACCTTCAACCCACTCTCTCCTTGCAGGTTCTCGCGTTTTCGAGGGGACGGAGGGGTGGTACCAGTGAGCTTCAGTGGTAGCAGCAACCTCATCTGGGCCTTCTCTGAGTCTGGATCAACTGAGCTGGCCTTTCATGGCGACAACGCGTGAGTGCGGGAGTCAGTGAGTGAGTGAGTGGGAGAGAGTGGGTGAGTGAGTGGGAGAGAGAGTGGGTGAGTGAGTGGGAGAGAGAGTGGGTGAGTGAGAGAGGTATGTGTGAGGAGCCGATATTGGTGAGTCTGGATCGACTGAGCTGGCCTTCCACGGGAACAACGCGTGAGTGAGGGAGTCAGTGGTTGAGTGAGTGAGTGAGTGAGTGAGTGAGAGAGTTTGTGAGTGAGTGGACCCTGTGGTCAGTGGTTGAGTGAGTGAGTGAGTGAGAGAGTTTGTGAGTGAGTGGACCCTGTGGTCAGTGGTTGAGTGAGTGAGTGAGTGAGAGAGTTTGTGAGTGAGTGGACCCTGTGGTCAGTGGTTGAGTGAGTGAGTGAGTGAGAGAGTTTGTGAGTGAGTGGACCCTGTGGTCAGTGGTTGAGTTTGTGAGTCAGTGGCAGAGTGAGGTTCGATGAATCTGGACTTCTCCTGTGCGCCTGCACCCTCTAGCTCAGTAGGTGATAAATGAGAAACCTAATCCCACTCTGACGCTTCTTCCCATCCCTTTCATCCTGTTACTCAGAGGTTCAATGAATGTGGACTTCTCGTGTGCGTCTGCACCTTCCAGCTCACAAGGAGGAGGAGGAGGTGGTGGTGATGGTGGTGGTGGCGATGGCGCTAGTGGGGATGGTGATGCAATAGGGGATGATGATGATGCTGATGATGCATATAATCATGATGATAGGGATGAGGGTGATTTTGATAGGGGGGGTGGTGATGATAACGAGGAGGGGGACGAGAAAGACTTTGGGCGGTGGAAGGAGGGGCATAATGGTAAAGATGATGATGATGATGATGAGGATGATGTTATGGATGATGGTAAATATGATGATAATGATGATGATGATGATGATGATGATGATGACGATGATGCTGATAAATATGATGACAGATTTGGAGAGGTGGATAATGGTGGTGATGATGACGATGATGCTCATAAGGGGGAAAATGGAGGGAGCCAGTCATTGGCATCCACGTCAGCAGTCTCTTCTGACAGTAGCAGTGATGGCAGCAGTGGCAGGGGCCGTGTGGCATGTGAGGCGTCACCTCTGCCTGACTATGCGTGCTCCATTCGACTCAAAGGCAATGAGTGAGTGGGATGGGGAAGAGTGAAGGGCAGAGTGAGTAACAGGGGCAGGGACAGGAGCAGTGTGGCATGTGAGCCGTCGACCCTGCCTGACTATGCGTGCTCCATTCGACTTAAAGGCAACGAGTGAGTGGGGACGGGGAACAAGGGAGAGAGTGAGTGCAGATGGCATAAACTGTTGTAGATGCTCGGGCTTTAATTGCAATGCATTGCATGTGAGGAGTCAAAGTGCATAAATGCGTGTTCCATAATTCCATCTAACTCAAAGGCACCGAGTGAGTAGAGAGGGGGAGGAGCCCGCGGGGACGGGGAAGAGTTAGCGGTTAAGGTCAAGAGAGTGGGGCAGGGGTGAAGTTGAGAGGGGCGGGGCGGGAGTAAATAGAGTGGGCACGGTACGAAGTTAATGGACAAGGGTTGAAATTCCGCCCACACCCCCTCTGAGTGACTTTTGATATAAAATGCCTCTCCGAGGATGTCTCTGGATCAAGGTTGACTCCTGATTGCGCCCTTCCTTACCCACACACCCGCTGACTGCTGTGACTTTTCATACCTTTTTCAAACTTTTCAATCACTTTTCATAAATGCCTCTGAGAAATGACTGCTGTAGTCGTCGGCCTGTCCCAACCTTCAACTCCCCAATCACTTCCCTCCCCCCACCACCTCCTTCCCCTTACCAGTTTCATCCTCCACTGGAAAACCAGGGCTGATACGATAGCAATGGCTGCTGACGTGGCGACGTCTGGTTGGGTGGCGATTGGATGGTCCAGTAGTGGAAAGATGTACCCCGCTGACGCAGCCATTGGGAATCTGCCACGTGGCACTCTCTCCAACGGGGCGGCAGTGGGAGCTTATCACCTCAGCGGGTACGGCGTGTCTGACGTGGCGCTGACGTCATCGTTTGAGCTCACCAACACGACCACCACCACAACAAATGGCCGAACAACAATTACGTGAGTGTGGGGCGTTTTTTAGATTTCCTTATCCGGCCTGAGTAGTTGGTTGAAGTTTTTTCCCACCCCTCCCCTCTCTGAGCTCCTCTCCTGCACAAAGAAAGAGAAAAAAACAGCAATCAATGAATGAAAATTATAGTATGTCAGGATGGCCGAGTTGGTCTAAGGCGCCAGTTTCAGGTACTGGTCCGAAAGGGCGTGGGTTCAAATCCCACTCCTGACATAGTTGCCCATCGGTTTTGCCTTTTCTGCCCGACCGCCTGCCCTCTCTCTCAAATGGTCCTTTGTATTAATTCAGCAGGGGGTACAGACATTCAGTTTGACTCGTGATTCCCTTAGACCGTCCGACCCATCAGCTTCTTACTCACCTTCTCTCTCACCCTCCTCCCCATCAGCTTCTTACTCGCTTTCACCACCTGCAGCAGCACCACTCTCGAGTGTCCTTCTCAGTGTTCTCAGGGTCAAGATTCAGAGCCTTACTTCCCAATTCAGCTCCCCAGGAGACTTAATGCCCAATTTATCCCCCCAGGAGTTGGAACATCCTCCACAAGGCCCCACCTCCCCTCTTCACCTGTTATCCCTGATTGTTTTCTACAGCTTCGAGCGACCCCTCTCGGTGGGTTCTGTCCCCATCAGCAGCAGCAGAGCCACCAGCGTGCTCTTCGCATTCTCTCGCTCCGGCTCGCAGCAACTGGACGACCACGGGCCCAACGAGTGAGTGCCGTGCAGGCATGAGGGTACAAGATAGGGCTATAGGGTGGTAAGCTCCAAAGATTGATTGGCAATGCGGGTGCACACCAGCATGCTCTGGGCCTTCTCTCGCTCCGGCTCGCAGCAACTGGACGACCACGGGCCCAACGAGTGAGTAACTGGCATGCAGGGAGGAAGTGGAGCGTGTGTGTAGTTGGGCCCGAACGAGTGAGTGAGTGCCGTGCAAGGCCGTGGGTGAGCAGCAGCGTGCTCTGGGCCTTCTGAGTCGACTGAAAAACGAGGTGACTTGTGAGTCGACTGAAAAACGAGGTGACTTGTGAGTCGACTGAAAAACGAGGTGACTTGTGAGTCGACTGAAAAACGAGGTGACTTTTGATTCGACTCAAAAGGCAGTCGGTGAGCAGCAGCGTGCTCTGGGCCTTCTCTCGCTCCAGCTCACCGCAACCAGAAGACCATGGGCCCAATGAGTGAGTGGGCCAGCATGGGGGGGAAAGATAGGGCTTTCTACAACAACAACAGCATGGGGGGTTCAACGACAGAGTGTGCAGGCAGGGCTGAGAAGCAGTGTGCTCTGGGCCCGCCTTCTTGTGCTCTGACTCGAGGTGACTTTTGAGTTGACTCAAAAGTCAGCAGAGTGCTCTGGGCCTTCTTGTGCTCTGACTCGAGGTGACTTTTGAGTCGACTCAAAAGTCAGCAGAGTGCTCTGGGCCTTCTTGTGCTCTGACTCGAGGTGACTTTTGAGTCGACTCAAAAGTCAGCAGAGTGCTCTGGGCCTTCTTGTGCTCTGACTCGAGGTGACTTTTGAGTCGACTCAAAAGTCAGCAGTGTGCTCTGGGCCTTCTTGTGCTCTGACTCGAGGTGACTTTTGAGTCGACTCAAAAGTCAGCAGTGTGCTCTGGGCCTTCTTGTGCTCTGACTCGAGGTGACTTTTGAGTCGACTCAAAAGTCAGCAGAGTGCTCTGGGCCTTCTTGTGCTCTGACTCGCAGCAGGTGGATGACCAAGGAGTAAATGAGCACTGCGCAAGCATGTGAATTGGACAATTGAGTGGGCAGGCATGGGATGGGCTGCCATGTTGTGAAGGGCTTGTGTTCTCTGAGCCTTCTCTTGCTCCGACTCACAGCAACCGGACGACCACAGGCCCAACGAGCGAGTGGGCAGGCATGCAGGGAGAAGGCAGGGCCGCTGTATGATTGGGCCGATCCAGTGAGTGAGGTGCAGGGGAGTAGCATGGGACGATTTTTGAGGCGCCAAAAAAAATTGCCTTACTAGATGAGTGATTGCACAGGCATGGGGCGAGAAGGTAGTGCCTTCGTATTATTGGGCCGAACCAGTGAGTAAGATGCAGGGGAGTAGCGTGGGCTGCGCTTTGCGATGGTAGCGTGGGCTGCGCTTTGCGATGGTAGCGTGGGCTGCGCTTTGCGATGGTAGCGTGGGCTGCGCTTTGCGATGGTAGCGTGGGCTGCGCTTTGCGATGGTAGCGTGGGCTGCGCTTTGCGATGGTAGCGTGGGCTGCGCTTTGCGATGGTAGCGTGGGCTGCGCTTTGCGATGGTAGCGTGGGCTGCGCTTTGCGATGGTAGCGTGGGCTGTGCTTTGCGATGGTTTTTCAAATGGGTGAGTGGCCTTGCACAGGCTGGCCGTGGTCTTGGCTTAAAGTAGATCCACTACAGAATGTAAAACAGGGGGTGAACACAGAATGCAAGTATTCAGTTGCAAAGAGGGTGAACAGAAAATCACGCTTCTCAACAAGCTCAGTGACAACCCAGCTCGCCTCATCTATCCCCCCCCCTCTCTTCCAACCCCACCTCACCCCACCCCGCCCCACCCAAACCCATCCCATCTCATCCCACCCCATTCCCTTGCATTACAAATAGAGGATCCGTTACAATCAACTTCGTTTCAGGCACAGTGGAGGTTGAGGAACCAAGCAGCAGCGACGAAGCGCTCTATATGGCGCACGGATGGATCCTCACTGTAGCTTTTGGCATTCTCATGCCTGCTGCCATGCTTATATCGAGGATATTCCTCTCAGATAAGCCTGCTTCAGACCCTGCTGCAGCAGCTGCACAGGCAGAAGCAGAAGCAAGGGAAGCAGGGGCAACGGGAGGGAGATTAGGGTTTCCAGCTCAGTCAACTCTGCACGAAGAAAGGGATTTTGAGCATATGCATTTAAAATCAGCTAGAGATGCAGCACAGTATGCCTCAGGGGAAGCAGGAAAAGCATCAGCAGCAGCAGAAGCAGCAGCAGGAGAAGCAGCAGCAGAAACAGGGATGCCTGGTAATGCTACTGCAAGCAGGGGAAAGCCTTGGATCAGCAAGGCACATGCATTTGAGGCCCATAAGTGGATCATGCTCCTCGCTGTCACGCTCTCATTGGTCGGAATCATCATGGCGTTCGTAAAAAAAGGATCGAGCTCCCTGCAGTCGACACATGGCAGGCTAGGATTGGCCGTGCTGCTGCTGATCGTCCTCCAGCCAATCATTGGACAGCTGAGGCCTGTCAAGGGCCACATGTTGCGACGCTATTGGTTCGCGCTGCATTGGGTGGTGGGAATGGCGATTGTGGCAATGGCTTGGAGCAACATGTTTCTTGGGCTCGACCTCGCAAGCAGCAGATTTGGTTACAACCTTGAGGTGAGCGGCTGCATGCATGGTGTGTGGCTGTGGCTATGGTGTGTGGCTGTGGCTATGGTGTTCGGCTGTGGCTATGGTGTGTGGTTGTGGCTATGGTGTGTGGTTGTGGCTATGGTGTGTGGTTGTGGCTATGGTGTGTGGTTGTGGCTATGGTGTGTGGTTGTGGCTATGGTGTGTGGTTGTGGCTATGGTGTGTGGTTGTGGCTATGGTGTGTGGCTGTGGCTATGGTGTTCGGCTGTGGCTATGGTGTGTGGTTGTGGCTATGGTGTGTGGTTGTGGCTATGGTGTGTGGTTGTGGCTATGGTGTGTGGTTGTGGCTATGGTGTGTGGTTGTGGCTATGGTGTGTGGTTGTGGCTATGGTGTGTGGTTGTGGCTATGGTGTGTGGTTGTGGCTATGGTGTGTGGTTGTGGCTATGGTGTGTGGTTGTGGCTATGGTGTGTGGTTGTGGCTATGGTGTGTGGTTGTGGCTATGGTGTGTGGTTGTGGCTATGGTGTGTGGTTGTGGCTATGGTGTGTGGTTGTGGCTATGGTGTGTGGTTGTGGCTATGGTGTGTGGTTGTGGCTATGGTGTGTGGTTGTGGCTATGGTGTGTGGTTGTGGCTATGGTGTGTGGTGATGTGACTTGAATCCTGATTGTGGCAATGGCTTGGAGCAACATGTTTCTTGGGCTCGACCTTGCAAGCAGCCGATTCGGCTACAACCTTGAAGTGAGTCTGGCAAACCCCTTTTTTGTTCTGTGAGATTCGGTTTGTGGGTCTACTCATTGAATGGCTTGGAGCAACATGTTTCTTGGGCTCGACCTTGCAAGCAGCCAATTTGGCTACAGCCTTGATGTGAGTCTGGCAACCATTTTCTTCTGTCCTTCTTTCGTAGTAAGAACAAAGCTGCATCGCCCTTGGCGGCCACAAGTTACAACCTTTCTTGGCTCACGCTTTGAGTTTCGTCTTCTTTCTTCTGCTGTTTGAATTTGTTGTCTGAGATCATGCATGTCTATGATTGCGATGCGGGGTATGAGCTCCTTGGGATATTCAAGAATTCACATTTTTAAGCACCATCTTGACTTCAAATGCCACTGCCCTTTTCTTCATTTTCTTCCCTGCTCTTTTAGGTCCCAGTTTTGAACTTGCTCCCCACCCCGTTATGTAGTTCGGCCTATGTACACTGGTTACAATCATAATAGGAACTCAACCTCAACCTTTCCTTCTTGTTCCCTATCTCCCCCACGCCCCCTTCTCCTTCCCTCCCTCTCCACTTCTCTCATTCTCCCCCCCTTCGTCCTATGCTTGATTGTATGCAGTGGTATTACATCGCATTCGCAGTTATGATTGGTCTCTTCACTGTAGCTTATGCTATTGATTTCGCCTGGGACCAAGTCGGGTTCTGCATGCTTCGATATAAGCAGTCTAATGTCGAATCGGAGCCACTCAACTCCAAAGAAGAGGTCATTACGATGCTGTGATGACTGAAACTCTAACAGCGCTGTTATTAGCATGTTACGTATAACTTGCTTTTTGGCATTGTGTTCGTCAATTACTAAGTATTGTGTGTGGTTTAGGCTAGTAATGTAATGGTTTGTATGTATCGCTACACAATATGCTTCGCATCATTCAGCTCCATGCTAGTGCCCTGTACAACAAACTAGATACGGTACCGGTACCGTAAAAGAAAAGGACATGTTGGGTTGGGGATGGACAAATCGGAGGCTACGATAGTACTAGTAGTAGAGTACATAATAACTATGCTCATCCATGGTTTGAATGAACAAAGGATGCAAAAATAAAAAATAAAAAATGAAGCTCTGTGCTGCCTCCAAACTGCACATATTGAACCCCATAACAGAAGAACTGAAACGAGTGTACTATTTTTTCAAAGGATTCGAATAACGAGTCTGCTAATTTAGGCCTACATAGAGATCCACGAACTAGCCGTTGTTCAGTTGGTCTAAATGCTACACCTGAAATCTAACCAAGAAGCTTTCAAGCTCACCGCTGTGACGTGCCGCGTCTTTGGTTCTTGTTTTCCATTGCGCCTGAGGTGACTTTTGAGTCAACTCAAAAGTCGCCGCGTGTTCAGTTCCTGTTTCCCGTTGCGCCTGAGCGGCTCGTTCCAGGCGCGTCGATCCCAATGGACGCTCCCGCAGGTCGCGGCGTGCGTTACACGTCAGTAACCGGTGCTTCGGGAGATTCGATTTCATCAGCTGGCGGCCGCTTCTCTCCCGCCCTTGGCCCAACTTCTCGCGGAATTTCCGGCGGGAATGGCGGCGGCGCCCCGGAGGACCGCGCGAGGCGCGTTAAGAGCCTATTAGAAGGGTATTACGGGCACGGGGGTGGAGCGCCAGGAGCAGAAGACGCGGCGGGATCGGCGGCGGGAAGTTCGGGGGGTCGCGACGACATCAATTCGCGAGCGTTTGACGCTGACTCGTTTGTAGCAAACTTGGTGCGTCAATAGCGGGGACGTTCGAGAGGTGTGAGAATCTTGGAAGCACAGGAAAGTAGGGGTAGTAAGGATGTGAGAAGCCATTGAATGTTGTTTATCTGAGAGTGGACCGACCTACCAATAATCGCGGCTTCGTTGTTACACACAGTTTGTTATCCAATCCAAGCTTAGTGCGCCTGTGAGTTTCACACTGTGAGCTTGACACCGAGAGCTTGACGTTTCACTAAGCTTGGTTAGACCGATTGACAAGCTCGAATAATGAAAGCCGTCTCAAGCTCCTTGTTGAAAAGCTTGTTCAAGATTCACTTAGCTCCTTGGTATCAAAACCCTAGTTTGCATTCAGTCAGCCTCATCGGCAAACCTGTGGTGGATGGATGGATGGATGGATGGACTCATCAGCAAGCCCGGTCTATGAGGCGCCGCAAAAGTCCTTGGTAACCCAGTCTATGATGGATGGATGGATGGATGGATTGATGGATTGATGGATGGATGGATGGATGGATGGATGGATGGATGGATGGATGGATGGATGGATGGATGGATGGATGGATGGATGGATGGATGGATGGATGGATGGATGGATGGATGGATGTATGGACCCAATGGCAACCCAGTCTATGTGCAGTGTACATGGCTCGGCTCTCCTGGCCACAGAGCATAACTTGTGCCTGCCGAGTCTACTCTACTCAACCCCAAAGCCATCATACGCTTCTTCTCAAGTTCGTGCAATGAAAGACGTCTCACACTCGTGCTTTGAAAGATCTGAAATCTCTAATGAGCTGAAATCTCTAATGAGCTGAAATCTCTAATGAGCTGAAATCTCTAATGAGCGTTTCGTGGTAATTCTGTGGTGGATTGGATGGATGGACTTTTTGGGCAAGTCTATGAGGCGCCTCAAAAGTCCTTGGTAACCCTATGATGGATGGATGAACTTTTTGACAAACCCAGTCTAGAACTCTATGTGCTGTGTAGTCCCATACACATGTTTTGAGGCGCCTAAAAAAACGAACTTTGTGGCAAACCCATTCTAAGACTCTATGTGTAGTGTCGTACACATGCCTTGGCTTTCGCCTGGGTTTTGAGTAGCGCGTGCTCTATGCTTCTTGTGCATGCTGCTGCTGCTGTTTAGCATTTGAGTAAACCGAAAACACACATTTTTTAGTCGTGTCATGTTCACTGCTGCTGCTGACATTTCAGATTCCCCCTTTCCATGCCTCTCCTATTTCCCTCACCCTTTCAGATCCGGCAAGCCAAGCTGGATGATTTTCTGTAGAAGCACGTGTCATGGGCAGCAGAGATCAAGAACCTGGACAGTGACATGCAGATGCCTCTGCTGTAATTGCCGCTGCTGCTGCTGACCCCGCCCTTCTCCCTTCCCTCCATGCCTTTCATGTTTCAATCCCACATTCAGATTCGACAAGCCAAGCTGGACAATTTGCTGCAGAAGCACGTGTCGTGAACGGCAGAGATCAAGAACCTGGACAGTGACATGCAGATGCCCCTGCTGTGCTTGCCACCGCTGCTGCTGCTGCAGTGACATTACAACTCCCTTCTCCCTTGTCCACTCCTCCTTGCTTGGTGTTCGCCCCCCCTTCAGATCCGAGAGGTGAAGCTGGACAATTTGCTACAGAAAGCATGTGTTGTGTTTGCCAACGCTGCTAACGTCTCCCTGCAAACCCTTTTCTCTTTCCACGCCTCTCGTATTCCCCGGCCCCATTCAGATCCGGCAAGCCAAGCTGGACAATTTGCTGCAGGAAGCATGTGTTGTGTTTGCCAACGCTGCTAACATCTCCCTTTTCTGTTTCCACGCCTCTCGTATTCCCCGGCCCCACTCAGATCCGGCAAGCCAAGCTGGACGATCTGCTGCAGAAGCATGTGTCGTGTTCACTCTTTGTTCGCTCATGATTCTTCTTTGTTCCTTTGTTCGTTCGTCCCCTCTCACACTCAGATCCGGCAAGCCAAGCTGGACGATTTGCTCCAGAAGCACGTGTCATGTGCAGCAGAGATAAAGAACCTGGACAGTGACATGCAGATGCTTGTGTATGAGAACTACAGCAAGTTCATCAGCGCTACTGATACCATCCGCACGTGAGTGTGTTAGTTGGGCTGGCTGGTTTGAAGGGATGAGACGTCTCAGAGCCACAGCAGGTTGATCATCAGTGGGCGGCAGAGATCAAGAACCTGGACTACAGCAAGTTCATCAGCGCTACTGACACCATCCGCACGTGAGTGTTGAGAGGGAATGTTTCAGTTTGTCAACTGGGTGTGTTGTGCTGGCCGGGTGGAGATACCTGAGCTGAGAACCACAGCATGTTGATTAGATGCAGGGTTGAAGAATCTGGACAGTGACATGCAGATGCTGGTGTATGAGAACTACAGCAAGTTCATCAGCGCTACTGACACCATCCGCACGTGAGTGAGTGAGTGAGTGACTGTATGAGTGAGTGGGGCTGGGTGGGTTGAGTTGCCTGACAGCCACAGCAGGTTCATCAGCGGCAGAGATCAAGAACCTGGATAGTGACATGCAGATGCTGGTTTATGAGAATTACAGCAAGTTCATCAGTGCTACTGACACCATCCGCATGTGAGTGAGTGCGTGTTGTGCTGCTGCTGCTGCTGCTGCTGGTGTGAGGTGTCTCCAGCTCAGAACTACAGCAAGTTCATCAGCGCCACTGATACCATCCGCACGTGAGTGAGTGAGTGAGGCTTGCTGGTTTGAGGGGATGAGACGTCTCAGAGGCACAGCAGGTTGATCATCAGTGGCTGGCAGGGGTCAAGAGCCTGGAGGACAGAGACATGCAGATGCTGGTTCACGAGAACTACAGCAAGTTCATCAGTGCTACTGACACCATCCGCACGTGAGTAGTGAGTGAGCGAGTGAGTGTGAGTGAGTGAGTGAATCTGAGTGAGTGAGTGTGTGTGAGTGAGTGTGAGTGAGTGAGTGTGAGTGAATGTGAGTGAGTGAGTGAGTGTGAGTGAGTGAGTGAGTGAGTGAGTGAGTGGGGCTGGCTCGTTTGGGAGTTCCGAACTTTGAACCCCCCCCACCAGCATGAAGGACAATGTGGCGAGTATGGAGTCCAATATGGACCAGCTGCTGCTTCCTCGCATCCACTCACCCTCCTCAATCCTTCCCCTCCCCTCTGATTTGTTGCTGTTCCTGCTTCCCCAACACCCCCATCAGCATGAAGGACAATGTGGCAAGTATGGAATCCAGTCTGGACCAGCTACTTGCCTGTACCCCACTCACCTGCCTCTTTGCCGTGTTTCATTGCCCTTCCCTTGCAATGCAACCAACCATCAGCATGAAGGACAATGTGGCGAGTATGGAATCCAGCATGGATCAGCTGCTACGAACGGTACGTGTGCTTGAATTCATTACATAAGAATAATGAAATAAATGAATAAAATGGGGATACACAGTTGTTCACACACACAGTAGGCGAATCTGCACCCTGTTTGACTCCCTTGACCCTCGTTGACTTTGATTTACCCCATTAAATGGTCTTACGTTGACGCGTCATGGACTAGAAGAGTCCTTCCTGTCCTTAGGTTAACCCTCCCTCCCTCCCTCTCCCCCTCCCTCTCTCCCCAACCCCCCTTCCCCTCTCACAGATGACGACAATGCAGAGCAGAGCAGAGCAATCAACAGCAATGTGTCAGACAGGAGGGACTGAACGTGCAGCTTTCATGCAGCTTGCTGCATCCCCACCCCTCGTCGCCCCCTTTGTCCTTCCCCCCCTCCCAGGTGACGTCAGTGCAGGAGCAGAGCACGGCCATCAACAGCAACCTATCGGAGAGGAGGGAGCGGACTGGCTGGCAGTTCACATGGCTTGTACCCCTCCCCAGCGATCCTTCCCTCCTGCCCTCCCTCCCTCTCCCAGGTGACGTCAGTGCAGGAGCAGAGCACGGCCATCAACAGCAATCTGTCGGAGAGAAGGGAGCGGATTGAGCAACTGAATGGCACTCGCAGCCTGCTGAGGAAGGCACAGGTGGGATTCGGTTGGGTTGGGATGGTTTTGGGCTGGGTTGGGTTGGGTTGGGTTGGATGTCTTCCATCTACGATTACAGCACCAGGCTGTGCTTACCCCAGCTCAACGGCACTCGCAGCCTGCTGAGCAAAGCACAGGTGGGCTGGGTTCGGTTGGGCTGGATTCCGCTGGGCTGGGTTGGTTTGGGTTGGCTTGGGTTGGGTTGGCATTGGGTGGCATTCCATCCATATTCGGTTTGCCCAGTGTCCAAGCGACTCAGAACCTTCCCCATGAACCACCGTACCGTTCAGATTCAATGGTGAGCATTATTTCCCTCCCTTCGCCTCTCCTTCTCCAGTAGAGAATCCCTAACTTTCCCCCTTCTTTCTTGTTCTTCTCCCTGCTCGCTCGCAGTTCATATTCGACCTGCCCAAGCGCCTCAAAACCTACTCCAAGAACCACCAGTACCGCTGGTATTCAAGAGCACTCAAAACCTACTCCAAGAAAGAACCTACCGTTCGTATTCAATGTAGAGCACTGCTTTCCTCCCTTCGCCTCTAATCTTCTCCTTTCCGCCCATCCTTTCTTTGTTATTCTCCCTCGCAGTTCATATTCGACCTGCCCAAGCGCCTGAGAACCTACTCCAAGAACCACCAGTGCCGTTCGAATTGAACATTCACCATAAACTCTCATCCCTTCCCATCTCCCTCACCCCCTTCCCCTGTCTTCCTTGCTCACCCTCGCAGTTCATATTCGACCTGCCCAAGCGCCTCCAACCTACTCCAAGAACCACCAGTACCCTTCACATTGCATGATGAGCGTTGTTTCCTCTCGCTTCCCACCTCCCTCTCTCCCTTTCCCCCTTCCTCTCTCCCTTCCCACCTTCCCCCACTTCGTTCTGCTGCCGCACAGTTCATATTTGATCTGCCCAAGCGCCTCCGAACCTACTCCAAGAACCACCAGTACCGCGCAGCAGTCAAGGCGTATGTGGGGGCTCTACCCATCCTGCAGGTACGTTTGCGTGTCACTCACTCACAGGCTATCAAAAGTCGTGTCGTTGCTGGGGTGACTGAGAACCTACTCCAAGAACCACCAGTACCGCGCAGCAGTCAAGGCGTATGTGGGGGCTCTACCCATCCTGCAGGTGCGGCAAAATTTGCATGGCTGTTACGCTTTTCTCGTTGCTTCCCTTTTGCACCTCTTGAGCTTCATGCATCCTGCAAGCAGTCAAGGCTTACGTCCCCCCATCCTCCCTCCCTCCCCCACTGCCTTGCCCCCCCATCACCCCCTCCCCCCCCCGCTTTCTGTTCCAGTCCTACGGCGAGACGTCCTTTCGAACATGCAAGGAGGCTGATGACGTCATGGCTGGAATCAGCAAGAGGCTGCAGCCTCTTCTCTCTATGGCCCTTCCTCTGTCACCCCTCAGCCCTTATATTAATGTTGTCAAATATTCAAAAACACTCTCCTGTCTCCTCCTTCTCCCACCCCCTCCCACACCTTTCCTCGCTCTCCTTGCTATCTCCATTTCAGTCCTATGGGGAGACGTCCTTCCGAACATGAAAGAAGGAGGCAGATGACGTCATGGCAGGCATCAGCAAGGGGTTAAGAGGCTGCAGGCGTTTCGTTCTAATGTTAAATGATTTCCACCTTCCCGCCTCCCTTCCACCTCTGCCCCTTTCAGTCCTATGGCGAGACTTCCTTCCGAACATGCAAGAAGGAGGCTGATGACGTCATGGCTGGCATCAGCAAGAGGCTACAGGCGCGGGTGATGAGTGAGGAGGAGGCGATGGAGCAGAGGGCTGAAGCGGCTGAGCTGCTGCAGGAGCTGGGCCACCAGGTGAGGGCGTTGACTGGCTTTGACTGGTGTTGACTGGGCGTTGACGTGGGGTTGACTTGGTGTGGGGCCTTGAGAATTGGGGCTGCAAGCGCGGGTGATGAGTGAGGAGGAGGCGATGGAGCAGAGGGCCGAGGCGGCTGAGCTGCTGCAGGAGCTGGGCCACCAGGTGAGGGCGTTGACTGGCGTTGACTGGCGTTGACTGGGGTTGACTGTCGTTGACTTGGTGTAAGGACCTGAGAATGGGGGCTGCAAGCGCGGGTGATGAGTGAGGAGGAGGCGATGGAGCAGAGGGCCGAGGCGGCTGAGCTGCTGCAGGAGCTGGGCCACCAGGTGAGGGCGTTGACTGGCGTTGACTGGCGTTGACTGGGGTTGACTGGCGTTGACTTGGTGTAAGGGCCTGAGAATGGGGGCTGCAGGCGTGGGTGATGAGTGAGGAGGAGGCGATGGAGCAGAGGGCTGAGGCTGCTGAGCTGCTGCAGGAGCTGGGCCACCAGACCAGGTGCGGGCGTTGACTGGCGTTGACTGGCATTGACTGGCGTTGACTGGGCGTTGACTGGCGTTGACTGGCGTTGACTGGCATCGACTTGGCGTTGACTGGCGTTGACTGGCGTTGACTGGCGTTGAATGGCGTTGACTAACGGTGACTGGTGTTGACTGGCGTTGACTGGTCGTTGACTGGGCGTTGACTGGCGCTGACTTGGTGTTAGGGCCCTGAGCATGGGGGCTGCAGGCGCGGGTGATGAGTGAGGAGGCGATGGAGCAGAGGGCTGAGGCTGTTGAGCTGCTGCTGGAGCTGGGCCACCAGACCAGGTGCGGGCGTTGACTGGGCGTTGACTGGCGTTGACTGGCGTTGACTGGCGTTGAATGGCGTTGAATGGCGTTGACTAACGTTGACTGGTGTTTACTGGGTTGACTGGCGTTGACTGGTCGTTGACTGGCGTTGACTGGGCGTTGACTTGGTGTTAGGGCCCTGAGATGGGGGCTGCAGGCGCGGGTGATGAGTGAGGAGGAGGCGATGGAGCAGAGGGCCGAAGCTGCTGAGCTGCTGCAGGAGCTGGGCCACCAGGTAAGGGCGTTGACTGGCGTTAACTGGCGTTGACTTGGGGTTGACTTGGGGTTGACTTGGGGTTGACTTGGCGTTGACTGGCGTTGACTGGGTGTAGGGCCCTGAGAATGGGGGTTGCAGGCGAGGGTGATGAGTGAGGAGGAGGCGATGAAGCAGAGGGCTGAAGCTGCTGAGCTGCTGTAGGAGCTGGGCCACCAGGTGAGGGCGTTGACTGGCGTTGACTGGCATCTCATGGACGCGTACCTGTCAATGCATTGGGAGCAACTGGTGGAGGAGCTAAAGCAAACAAACAGGGAACGAGACTAACCTTTCTTTCCACCCTCCCTTCCTACCCACACAGGTGGGCCCTCTCATGGACGCGTATTTGTCGACGCACTGGGAGCGCCTGGCGGGGGAGTTGAGGCAGGCAGGCAGAGAGAAGGAGGTCATTCCGTTTGTTGTCCTTCCTTCCATCCCTGCTCCCTGCACCCACGCACCCCCAACCCACCCGCACAACAAACCACAGGTGGGCCCTCTCATGGACGCGTATTTGTCGACTCACTGGCAGCGGCTGGTGGGGGAGCTGAGGTAGGCAGGCAGGAGAGGAGGCCGGCCTAGTCCCTTGTTGTTCTTCCAGACTTACCCCAACCCCTCAACCCTAAACCTCTAACCCCGTGCCCGCGAACTACAGGTGATCTCTCTGATGGGCGCGTATCTGTCAACGCACTCCACTCACTCTGACCCCCCTACCTACCCTACCCTACCCACCCCCCTCAACCCATAGGTGGGTCCTCTCATGGACGCGTATTTGTCAACGCACTGGGAGCGGCTGGTGGGGGAGTTGAGGTAGACAGGCAGAGAAAGAGACCAACTCATTGCCTTGCACTTAGCTTTCCTCTCATGATTACCTCCTCTCCTTGCGCACAACTCACAGGTGGGCCCTCTCATGGACGCGTACCTGTCAATGCACTGGGAGCTGCTGGTGGAGGAGCTAAAGCAAACAAACAGGGAACGAGACTAACCTTTCTTTCCACTCATTGGTAACCTCCCTTCCTACCCACACAGGTGGGCCCTCTCATGGACGGGTATCTGTCGACGCACTGGGAGCGCCTGGTGGGGGAGCCGAGGCAGGCGAGCGACGAGGTGGGCAGGAAGGGCGAGAAAGAGGCTAACCCATTCATTTTAACCCCCTTGTCTACCCACACACACCATACACACACACACACACAGGTGGGCCCTCTCATGGATGCGTATCTGTCAACGCACTGGGAGCGGCTGATTGGGGAGCTGAGGCAGGCGAGCGACGAGGTGGGGAGGAAGGAGGAGAGCGGCCTGGTTGACCCCACCGCTCCCTCTCAGACCTTTGTTGACGCGCTGAAGCGGGTGAGTACCAGGAGAAGGAGGGTGATGTGTGGTTGGGAAGGGTGGAGTGAAGTGGGGGAGGTTGCAGTGCAGGTTGGTGGGGGAGTTGAGGCAGGCGAGCGACGAGGTGGGAAGGAAAGGGGAGAGCGGCATGGTTGACCCCACTGCTCCCTCGCAGACCTTTGTTGACGCTCTCAAGAGGGTGAGTGCTGGGGAAGGAGGGTGGAGAGGGTGCAGGCTGGTGGGATGGGAGGGCTGAGGCAGGGGGTGAGGGGGAAATGGGCTCGGGCAGTCGTGGTGGATCTTTCTTATCTGTCTCCCCAGCAACAGGCGTGGTTGACCCCACTGCCCCCTCGCTGAGTTCTGTTGACACGCTCAAGAGGGTGAGTAATGGGGAAAGGGAGGAGGGGAGAGGGGGGTTGAAGCGTGTTATTAGAGTCTGGTCTGCTGGCCCATTTTCCCCAGCAACAGCCGTGGTTGACTTGACCCCACTGCTCCTGTGCACACACACCTTTGTTGTTGACTCGACACGTTCAAGCAGGCAGTTATCATATCTTCACTTTTGAGGCGCCTCAAAAGTCGTTCAAAAGTCGTTCAAAAGTCGTTCAAAAGTCGTTCAAAAGTCGTTCAAAAGTTGTTCAAAAGTCGTTCAAAAGTCGTTCAAAAGTCATTCAAAAGTCGTTCAAGCAGGCAGTTATCGTATCTTGATTCTTGGGCGCGCTCCCTTCCTTTGCATCCCTTCTCGTTTCTGCTTCTCCGTCTGTCCCCCTCAGGACTTCATGAGTGAGTTCGAGCGCACAGCCGTCTTTGGAGCCTGGGCTGTGTACGCTAACCAGACCAGCTATTCTCTCGCTTGATGTCGTGCATCTCTTTGCTCTCTGCAAACTCCTTTCTCTTCCCCTCACTTTCAGGACTTCATGGGTGAGTTCGAGCACACAGCAGCGTCCTTCCGAGGGATATTCCCCATGGGAGGGGTTAGAGCCTGCATGCATGGACGAATTTTTGAACTCCCCTGCGCTTCTTCTCTCCCTCTCTCACCTCATCAGGACTTCATGAACGATTTTGAGCACACAGCAGCGTCCTTCCGAGGGATATTCCCCATGGGAGGGGACAAGCTCACTGAGGCCACCCGATCCCTCTTCAACGAGTAAGAATGTGCCACGTGGCACAGTGAGGTAGCGAGGTAGTGTGACACGTAGCCCACTTAGCAGAGGAGGTTCCCCATGGGAGGGGACAAGCTCACTGATGCCACCCGCTCCCTCTTCAACGAGTAAGGTTGTGCCACGTGGCCTAGTAGTAGACATGAGCAACGAGTGAACCGAACACGTTTGACTCGAACAGTTTTCCTAAATGTTAGTGTTCCCTGTTCGAGTATAGGGTCGAACAGTTTTAAGGCAAGGCCGAACACTAAGGTGTTTGATCCGAACTCGAACAGTTTGCCTTGGGGGGTACTTTCAGTATAGTCACATTCAGGGCGTGTAAAAAAATCAGGGCGCGTGTACTGCGAGAAATATCACAATGTACTGAAAGAGTGAAGATCAACAATGCTGCGCACTCAAGCTCTAGTCAAAGATGGATAAATAAGTCAACGGGCAACATGTCAATGGCAAGGTTAAGTCAAGAACATGCAAAACTAAACCTGAGAGCCCACCAAGTCCTCATGCAACTCTCCCAACCGCCCCTCCTCCTGCCACAGCAACGCCTCCTCCTCACCCCCCTCGTCGAGCCCCTTTCCCTCCAGCGCCAACTCTGGTGGTGTCTGCTCACCACTGCGTCTGGACCCTCTCCCCTCAAAATTTGGCGTGCTTGTCTCGAACCCCAAGTGTTCCCGACGAACACTTTGGGAACTCGAACACCTAGGTGTTAGAGTGTTTCTGTGCTTACGAACACTCGAACGTGTTCGGGACGAACACCTAGGTGTTCGTCCCAAACTATTTTGGGCAAAGAAAACCAACTGTTCGGTTCGTTTCGAACATGTTCGAGTCGAACCAAAACAGGTGTTCGGATTTTTGCTCATGTCTACCTAGTAGGGTAGTGACACATGACCTACTGAGCAGAGCAGCACAGAGAATATGCCCCTTGGGGGGAAGGATTTTTGAGGCGCCTCAAAAATCGTCTCAAATTTTTTTGAGGCGCCTCAAAAATCTACTGAGCAGAGCAAACTTTTGAGGCGCCTCAAAAGCAGAGCAGCACATAGAATATGCCCCTTGGGGGGAGACAAGCAGCAAGCTCACTGATGCCACGCACTCTCTGTTTGTTCTTTTGAGAATTCTCAAAAGTCGCACCAATATAGTAGGGTAGTGACGCATGACCCACTGAGCAGCACAGAGAATATGCCCCCATGGGGGGGAACAAGCGACAAGCTCACTGACACCACGCACTCTCTGTTTGTTCTTTCTTTCTATTCTTTGTTCCGAAGTCGTGGCTGGCAGAGATGGCACAGCGCGTAACATGAATGAAGAAGCCTCTTTCAAAGGAAGTCCTGGGGCTGGGGAAACTTTTGAGAGTTCTCAGAAGCGACTCCCATGCGCTCTTTGTTAGATTCTACTACTCTTCTGTATCCTGCATTGATCCTATAAACCCTAGGACAGAGATAGGCACCCAAACTATGTTTGGGTGCACAACTAGGGTTAACCCTAGTTGGGGGTTGGAACCCAACCTTGGTCCAATTATTGGCCCCCAAGGTTGAGTTGAGAGATTATTGGCCCCCCCAATAATGTTGGCCCACTTTTGGCCAACATTATTGGGACCCCCCAATAATTCTCCAACCTAACTTATTGGTGTGGGGCCAATAATGATGACTAGGTACCCAACCAACCCCCCCTCCCCTAGCTTCAACTATGTAAGCCCGTATGATTCCTAATCAACTCAATGGTTCAATTCTAACATGGTTATCAGAGCTCTTACGGCCAACGCCGCTCAAAGATCCTAGGACCCCTCGTGCTACTTAGCGCACCTCTCGCCGGCTCTGCCGCGCCTCACGCGCCACCTAGCGCGCCTCACACGCCACTTAGCGCGCCTCTCGCGCCACTTAGCGCACCTCTCCCCGGCTCTGCCGCACCTCTCGCGCCACTTAGCGCACCTCTCCCCGGCTCTGCCGCGCCTCTCGCGCAACTTAGCGCACTTCCGCCGGCTCTGCCGTGCCCCTCGCGCCATCTCGGCGCTCCCCTCCTCCCCTCGACCGTCCGCCGCGACGAACGCGACCGTCAGCCGCGGACGCGACGAACGCGACCGTCAGCAGCGGACGCGACGAACGCGACCGTCAGCCACGGACGCGACGAACGCGACCGTCAGCCGCGGACGCGACGAACGCGACCGTCAGCCGCGGACGCGACGACCGCGACCGACAACCGCGGACGCGACGTCCGCGCCGACGACGAGGGCGGACGCAACGTCCGCGCCGACGGGCAGCGCGGACGCGACATCCGCGCCGACGACGAGGGCGGACGCGACGTCCGCGCCGACGGGCAGCGCGGACGCGACATCCGCGCCGACAACGAGGGCGGACGCGACGTCCGCGCCGACGGGCAGCGCGGACGCGACATCCGCGCCGACGACGAGGGCGGACGCGACGTCCGCGCCGACGGGCAGCGCGGACGCGACATCCGCGCCGACGACGAGGGCGGACGCGACGTCCGCGCCGACAGGCAGCGCGGACGCGACATCCGCGCCGACGACGAGGGCGGACGCGACGTCCGCGCCGACGGGCAGCGCGGACGCGACATCCGCGCCGACGACGAGGGCGGACGCGACGTCCGCGCCGACGGGCAGCGCGGACGCGACATCCGCGCCGACGACGAGGGCGGACGCGACGTCCGCGCCGACGGGCAGCGCGGACGCGACATCCGCGCCGACGACGAGGGCGGACGCGACGTCCGCGCCGACGGGCAGCGCGGACGCGACATCCGCGCCGACGACGAGGGCGGACGCGACGTCCGCGCCGACGGGCAGCGCGGACGCGACATCCGCGCCGACGACGAGGGCGGACGCGACGTCCGCGCCGACGGGCAGCGCGGACGCGACATCCGCGGACAGCCGCCGCGGTCGGGACGAACGCGGGCAGCCGCCGCGGACGGGACGAACGCGGGCAGCCGCCGCGGACGGGACGAACGGGGGCAGCCGCCGCGGACGGGACGAACGCGGGCAACCGCCGAGGACGGGACGAACGCGGGCAGCAGCTACGGACGGGACGAACGCGGGCAGCAGCCGCGGACGGGACGAACGCGGGCAGCCGCGAACGCGACCAGACGGGGGAGTACCCAGCTGCGGACAGCACGCAACTCATCCCCACCACTGACCGCGCCGTCCCTCCGGACAGCGTCGTCACCTCTAGCACCTCCACCCTCCCCTCCTCCCCCCCCCCCCCCCTCCTCCCTCACTCGTTATGGCGGACGAACCTTCGTCGCTTGAGCTCGCCTCGATTGACAAACTCGAGCTCCTCAACGGCACCACCGCAGTCAATTGGGTGTCGTTTGAGGAGAGTCTCTTCACGTACCTTGGCTCCGTCCGAGTGGGAGATTATTGCCTTCTTGACGTCGTCCTCGAAACGCCTCACGGCCTCCCTCCCACCCCGCCCCCGCTCCCAGGCTCCTCCCCTCCTGACGCCCCACCACTCCCGACCGAACCCGCCCCTCAAGCCCCCATCCTAGGGGCTTGGGAGGATGATCCAGACAGGTGGGCTCGCACCCTCAACAAGTACAACAAGGAGCGAGACGACTACGTCATCAAGGGCAGAGCACACGCGGCTGCCGTCGCCGCCCACGAAGCTGCTACTGCAAAGCTTGCAGAGTTCAAAGCCATCTCCGAAGCGTACTCTACTAACCTTCGTAAGCATCACTCCGATACTGCTGCATGGCGCATTGCTGACCGCCGTGCACTCACTGTCATCTTCTCGTGCGTTCCCTCCTCCCTTAAACGTGACCTTCGCCCTCCATCCTCCCCCTCTCTCTGGAAGTCTCTCTCCGCCCAATATGACCGTCAGGACTTACGCTCACTCCTCTCCCTCTTTCGCACCTTCCAAGACATCACCCTTGACTCCTCCCTCAATGCTGCCTCCTTCGCTCGGCGTCTCACGGACACTGCGCAACGCCTCAATGATCGAGGCATCTTGATCTCAGACACCCTTCTTACAGCACGCATCCTTGACTGCCTCCCACCCACCTATGACACTTACCGCATCAACTTCACCTCCCAGCACATTCGTCCTCCCCCTGTAGCTGTTACCATCGACTGGCTCCTTGACAGTGAGGCTGACCTCCTGCGTGACTCTGCAACGGTCAATGCTGTTCACGCTCGCAAAGGAACCAATAACACTGGCGGAAGCAGCAGCAGCGGACCTGGACGTGGTTCAAGTGGAGGAGGTCGAGGAGGCGGTCGCGGAGGCGGACGAGGAGGGCGCACTGGAGAACGCGGCGGACGTGGAGCAACTGCTCCATCCACGGGTGGGTTTCCCCCGTGTCAGTACGTCATTCGTCAAGGCCCCAACAAAGGTCAGACCTGCAACCAGACCACTCATCCAACTGAAACGTGCTTCAAAGCCCTCACTGATGAATGGCTTGCACGCGGCAACACAGGTCCCCCTCCACGTTGGAACACTATCACCCCTCGCCCCACCCCTCATGATATTCGCACCCTCTCCACCTATGCACCCTCTCCACCTAACCTCCATAATGTCCTCGCTCAGCACCTCTCCCCTCACGTCCTCCAGCAAGTCCAACACCTTCTTCCCACACCCACCACCACCCCTACGCTCTCCACCCTCACCACTCCGCCTCCACCCACGCCCCCACCTCCAACCCCTCCCTCCCCCTATCCTCCTCTCTATCCTCCTCCTTATGCCGGCTGGCCCTACCCTCCCTACCCCCCATCTATGTATGGCCATAGAACTGCCGCAACTGCTGCAACTGCTGCAACTACTGAACAACCCACCTCCTCCTCTCAACCCCCCGGCTTCACACCGTTTCCTTCCACAGGATTCATAGGTCATGTCACCACTGCTAGCTCTTGCAATAATCCTATGTATGCCAATGCTATTAATGAGTCCTCATTCCAGTACTCCGTGTCCTCCTCCTCCCAGCCCCTTGAGTTCATCCTTGACAGCGGTGTCACCCACACGGTCCTTCGTGATGCAGGCACGCTCCTCCCCCTCTCCACCCCCTCCACAATCTATGGGGCTGACTCAAGCTTTGCCATACAAAGCCGTTACACCTCCACACTCCCCTGTCCCCTCTTTCCCTCAGGTACTGTCACAGGTCTCTATGTCCCCTCCCTTCGTAACAACCTGGTTTCCCTTGGTGCCCTCTCAACGGCAGGTGTCACCGCCTTATTTCCTGGTCACGCAGCATATTGTGACTTATTTCACACCCCCTCCGGTCGCTTCCTCTGCCGTGTCCATCGGTGCCCCTCCACCCACATGTACACCTTCCGCATCCCCCGCCCCACCCTTCACCAACTCTCCACACCCCATCCCCCCGCCCCCTCCCCTCCTCTCGAACCTCTCCCTCCCCCTCCAACTCCCCCTCCCCCCTTCCTTCCCCCTCCCCCTCCCCCTCCCCCTCCCCCTCCCCCTCCCCCTCCCCCTCCCCCCGCCCCTTCCCCCCCCCCCCCCATCTAACCCACCCTCCCCCTATCACTGTCGTAATCTCACACACCCCACCATTCTCCTCCACCGTCGCCTAGGCCATCCCAACTTTGCCACCCTTCGCCGATCCATCCTCACTAAACTCCTTGACGGTCTCCCCCTTACCCTTCACCCCCTCCCTCCGTCCCCCTCCCCTCCTTGCTCAGTTTGTGTTGAAAGCAAGCTGAAGCAACAACCAAACACGAGTAACCCCTCCTTTTCCCTCCAACCCCTTGACCTCGTTCACATGGATATGTGGGGCCCTAACCCTTCCCCCACCAGGCAAGGACATCGCTATCTCCTGATCCTGGTGGATGATCACAGTCGATACTCCTCCGTCACCCTCCTTCGTACGAAGGCGGAGGCCCCGGCTGCCATCACTGCCTGGGCTGAACAAGCACGCAACCACTTCGGTCGCCCTGTTCGCCGCTTCCATTCCGATGGAGGCGGTGAGTTCCTCAACCACACCCTGTCCTCCTACTGCACCACTCACGGCATCCTCCACACCTACACTCTCCCTCACTCTCCTCAGCAGAATGGTGTGGCGGAGAGCCGCGTGCGGGAGATCACCAAAACGGCTCGTTCACGCCTCCTGCCCACCTTCTCTGTGGGGCTATGCCATCCTTCATGCTGCCATCCTCACTAACCTCTACCCCCACCCTTCCCGTCCCACCTCCACCCCCACCGAACTATGGACCTCCAGCAAGCCTGACATATCTCCTCTGCGCGTCTGGGGTTGCAAGGCGTATGTCCTCATACACCCTGCTGACCGCTCACGCGCACGTGGAAAGCTTGCGTCCCGCACACTCCCCTGTGTCTACCTTGGACACAACACCAACTCACCTGACTACCTTTTCCTCCACCCCCCCTCAGGCCGCCTCATCCGTAGTCGGGACGTGGTCTTTGACGAGGCCACCCCGTACTACACCTCCCCCTCCGCCCCTAACCCCCTTCCCCCATTTCCCCGGCCCCTTCTCTGGACTGACACCCTGCCCCTCCTCCCGTCCCCTGCCATGACCCCTCCCCCCACTCCCCCACCCCTCCCCCCCTCTCCCCTCTCCTCCAGTTCCTCCAAGGCGACCTACACGAACTCATCTTCATGGAACGCCCCAAAGGCTTTCACGCTCCACATGACCCGTCCACCGTTTGGAAGCTGCTCCGACCCGTCTACGGCCTCAAGCAGGCACCCCGGGAGTGGCATGCCAAGCTCTCTTCCACCCTTCGCGAGCTTGGTTTTCGCCCCTCCCGAGCTGCCTCCAGCCTCTTCCTTCGGACGACTCCGTCCCCTTTCTACATTCTCGTCTACGTCGACGACATGCTACTAGCCGCTGACACAGATGCTGAGATGCAGGAGGTCAAGGACGAACTACAGCGTCGCCTCGCCTGCAAAGACCTGGGGGAGGTCCGCAACTACCTTGGCATGGAGATCACCCGCGACCTCAAGGCTAAGACTATCTCCCTCTCTCAGTCCTTCTACATTGAGAAGGTCCTTGAGAGGTTTGGAATGTCAAAAGCCAAGCCCATCGCCACCCCGCTTGCAGTTGGGCACCAGCTCTCGCCCCCTGCCACCCCCACCGACTCCTCTAACCCCTATGCAGAACTTGTCGGGGCCCTGATGTACGCCATGGTCTGCACCCGCCCCGACCTTGCCTACCCAGTCAGTGTTCTGGCGCGATTCGTTGGTGTCGGCAGGCACACGGAGGAACACATGACGGCAGCCCGGCGTGTCCTACGCTACCTTCAGCACACGAAGGATTACACCCTCACCCTTGGTGGAGCAGACCCGCCGGTTCTCACTGGCTTCAGCGACTCGTCCTGGGCAGACTCACAGCCTGATCGTCGCAGCTCACAAGGATATGGCTTCACCCTTGGGAGCGGCCTCATCAGCTGGCGCTCCACCCGCTCCTCCTCCATCGCCCTCTCCTCCTGCGAGGCTGAACTGTACGCGGTCACGATGGCAGCACAGGAAGCACGCTGGCTCAGCTATCTCCTCACAGACCTTGGCTCACCACAGCCTTGTCCCACTCTCTGGTGTGACAACGCCAGCACCATCCACCTCACCAAAGAAGCTGTGTTCCATGGTCGCTCCAAGCATATCGAGCTCCGACACTACTTTGTCCGTGATCTTGTCCAGGATGGCCACATTACCGTGCGCAAGATCGACTCTTCCTCCAACCCCGCCGACATATTCACTAAGGCCCTCGACCGCTCTACTCACTCGGCGATTTTGCCGCTCCTGGGCCTTGCTCCCCATGGTGACTGATTCAGGGGTTGCTGTCTTATCTCATCCAGGTTTATAGATCTATGCAGGCTAAGGGGTTGTGTTAGATTCTACTACTCTTCTGTATCCTGCATTGATCCTATAAACCCTAGGACAGAGATAGGCACCCAAACTATGTTTGGGTGCACAACTAGGGTTAACCCTAGTTGGGGGTTGGAACCCAACCTTGGTCCAATTATTGGCCCCCAAGGTTGAGTTGAGAGATTATTGGCCCCCCCAATAATGTTGGCCCACTTTTGGCCAACATTATTGGGACCCCCCAATAATTCTCCAACCTAACTTATTGGTGTGGGGCCAATAATGATGACTAGGTACCCAACCAACCCCCCCTCCCCTAGCTTCAACTATGTAAGCCCGTATGATTCCTAATCAACTCAATGGTTCAATTCTAACACTCTTTGTTCTTTCTTTTCTTTTCTTTGTGTCGTAGTCGTGGCTGGCAGAGATGGCACAGCTCGTAAAACGCACACATCCTGGCCTTTGTAAAGAGGTTATTTTTGAGACGTCTCAGAGATGGCACAGCTCGTAAAATGCACACATCCTGGCCTTTCCCCCTCAACCCCCCCACCTCGCCTCGTCGTCTCCCCTCCCCCCCCCACACCAGGTACATCACATATCTGCAGCGCTGCATGCATCCTTCAGACACCCGCTCCTCGTCTGACCTCGTGCCCCACCTGCTCTTCCTCACCCTCTACTCCCCCAACCCCCCACACCCTCCTCTCCCCCCCCCCACCCCACTAGGTACATCACATATCTGCAGCGCTGCATGCAGCCTTCAACCCTCCAACGTGTTCCATCTGGGATAGCCTAACCACACTTCCACCCTCCTTTCCCTGCCCCAACCCCCACCTCTCCCTCCCCCCCCACCAGGTACATCACATACCTGCAGCGCTGCATGCAGCCTTCCGACTCCCGCTCCTCGTCTGACCTTGTGTTTGCACTCAGTGAGTGGGGTTGGTGGGTGAGTGGAACGGTGCAATGGGGAGGGAGCGAGAGGGGGAGTGGGCGTGAAAGAGGGGGGTACATGGTACATCACATACCTGCAGCAGCGCTGTATGCAGCCTTCAGACTCCCGCTCCTCATCTGACCTCGTGTTTGCACTCAGTGAGTGGAAGGGGTTAAGGGGGAAGGAGTGGATGAAAGGAGGGAGCTGGATGGGTGAAAGATGATGAAAGTGTGCGAGGGAGGGAGGTGAGAGACTGGGGTACATGATTTCATTCACCTGCAGCATGGTGTATGCAGCCTTCAGACTCCCGCTCCTCGTCTGACCTCGTGTTTGCTCTCAGTGAGTGAAACGGAGCATGGGTGAGGGAGGCAGATTGGCAGCGAGCGAGCGTGAGCTAGAGAGGGGAATATTATTTTTCACCTGCAGCATGGTGTATGCAGCCTTCAGTCTCCTGCTCCTTGTCTGACCTTGTGTCTGCACTAGGTGAGTGGAAGAGAGCAATGAGGAGGGAGGGAGAGGGGGAGCGAGCGTGAGGGTTGGAAAGGAATGCATCACATGCCTGCTATAATGAGACTTTAACAATGTCTGCCCTCTTTTTTTTTTTCCCTCCAATGCTCCCTCGGTATATGGCAGGGAAAATCTCGCAAGACGTGGTGAAGATGTCTGAGCTGGTCCCTGATGCTGACCTGCAAGACAGAGCGGCAGAGGTGAGGCTGGGAGGAAAGGAAGGTCAGGTAACAATCCACGTAGTGGTAACAGTTACTGTCTACAGAGACAATAGCAGTTACAACTGACGTGGTGAAAATGTCTGAGCTGGTCCCTGATGCTGACCTGCAGGAGAGAGCAGCTGAGGTGAGGGGGGGGAGGATAGGGTTAGGAAACATACCAAGTAGTGGTGGTACCATGAAGAGAGATAGTATCAGTTACAATCGATGTGAGGATGGCAGAGCTTGTCCGTGATGCTGATCTGCAGGACAGAGCAGCAGAGGTGAGTGGTGATGACAGGGTGAGGTAACAAACCACTCATATGGTAACAGTAACAGTGACAGTAACAGAGACAGTAACAGAGACAGTAACAGAGACAGTAACAGAGACAGTAACAGAGACAGTAACAGTTATCATTGATGTGAAGATGTCAGAGTTGGTCCCTGATGCTGACTGCAGGACAGAGCGACAGAGGTGAGGGAGGTACAGTGGTGAGCACTTATCCAGGTGGCGTGAGAAACACTAAAGGGAAACAGGAAGGTCTATTGTGAGTCTACTCAAAATGCACCGAGAAACGCGAAGAGGAAACATGAAGAAAGCTTTGAGAATTCCTGAAGGACATAGGAAGGCCATTTTGGGACAACAGCAGAGCTGGATTGGCACAGATACTTACCGTTGGCGACCTGCAGGAACATGAGGTCCCAAGGGTTTTCTGATCCTCCTCCTCCTCCTCCTCCTCCTCCTCCTCCTCCTCCTCCTCCTCCTCCTCCTCCTCCTCCTCCTCCTCCTCCTCCTCCTCCTCCTCCTCCTCCCCTCCCCCATTCTCCTCACCTCCCATGCTCCCAGGCCATGGCAGCAGCAGTCCGCGATCACATCATGCAGGGCTTTGCTCTCTTGGAGATTCGAATCACAGGTGAGCCTTGCATGCCATTCTTTTGAGACACAGGCTGGCTGAAATCACATGGTGAGCCTTGCATGCCATTCTTTTGAGACACAGGCTGGCTGAAATCACATGGTGAGCCTTGCATGCCATTCTCATTCCAAAGTGCAATCGGGACATTACATGTGACTGTTCACTGTTAACCATTCCATACTCATCCACATTACATTTGATGTGACCCACACACAAATTCTTGAACCTTTACCGTTGACCCTTCGTCACCCCTTCCCCCAGATTAGGCATGAGCAAAAGAACGAACCGCAGTTCGGTTCGGTGCGGTTCGGTTCGATTTTCACCGAACCAAACCGGTTTTTTCTTGTTTCCGGTTTGTCAACGAACCGAACCGGTTCGGTTGGTTCGTGAGGTTCGTTTTTGCCAAATTCTTGAGGCGCGACATACTGACCTTGGTCATTCAAGTTTGAATATGACCCAAAAAACAAAGAGTTGGAGCTCATTTCGAGCTTCAACTCTGCCATAGTCTAACAAAACCCCCCTTCCGCCTAATATCTGTGTGTCTTCCATTGTTTTTTTTTTTTTTCAGTTTTCAGCTGGTATGACCATATTTAAACTTCACTGGAAAAACGAACCGATTAGGTTCGGTACCGAACCGGGCCGGTTCGACCGAACCGGTTCGGTTCATTAACTATTTTAACGAGCCACGAACCAGCACCTTGGAAACTGGTTCGCAAACGAACCGGTTCGGTTTCTTATGGTATAAAAACGAACCAGTTCGGTTCGGTACCATGCTCATGCCTACCCCAGATTCATTGCATGCAGTGGCAGCAAAGCCAGGGACGCCAGGCTCGCTGCCCTTCCTCGCTGTTGCGTAGCCCAAGCCGATACTCAGTGGGGAACCGACCCCCTGCCATCCGTGTTGGAGTCATTTCAAGCCCCCTCTTTCTTCCTTTTCCCCTATCCCCTGACCCCTCGCCCCCCTCACCCCAGTCGCACTGCATGCAGTGGCGGCCAATCCAGGTCCCCATGCTCCCTGCCCTCCCTCGCTGCTTCCCAGCCCAAGTCTCTCCGTGGAGGAGACAGCCCCCCGGCAGCAGCAGTGCTGCTGGAGTCAACTCAAGCCCTCTTTTTCTTCCTTCTGCCCTCGCCACTCCCCACCCCCAGACGCACTGCATGCAGTGACAGCCAAGCCAGGGGCGCCAGGCTCCCTGCCCTCCCTCGCTGCTTCCCAGCTTAAAGCTAGCGTCTCAAATTTCCTACCGTTTAACACTTGGTTGGGTTTGCCCCTATTTGATTGGGTAACGAATGACGAAATATGTGACGAGCGGGTGAAAAAAACACTGCGAACTCCCAAACAGGTTTGGCCAAAACAAACCAGGGTGTGCAGGGTTGGGTGGAAGACGAGCCTTGGGGGACAGGTTTGGCCCCGCTTACTGTCAGAGTTGAGAGTTCACAGTCTCAAATTTCCGAGATTGTAAATGCTTGGTGTTCGCGGGGAAGTGTGCGACGCGATTTCCCAACCAACCTTTCCAACCACCCCTTACCTTGGTGTGCTGTGCGACAAACTCTGCTGTTACCGGATTCCAACCGTTTAACACTTGGTTGGATGGCATAAATATGAGACGCGAGCTTTAAGTCGTTGCGCGGGGAGGACAGGCCGCTGGCAACATTGTTGGAGTCATTTTGAGCCCTCTGTCACTCCTCTCTGCTCTGCCCTTCCCCCCTCTCCCCCAGACGCATTGCATGCAGTGGCGGCCAAGCCAGGGGCACCGGGGTCTCTGCCCTCCCTCGCTGCTTCCCAGCCCAAGTCACTGCGTGGGGAAGACAGGCCGTTGGCAGCAGTGCTCGAGTCGGTGCAGGGACTCATCCTCAACTCCTCTCTGCGGCTGCTGGAGGTATGACCTCTTTTTCATGAAGCTTGGAAATCTTGCTCTAGTTTTGTTGTGAGTATGCTTCTGCTTGGAAGGAGTGGAGGACAGGCCGTTGGCAGCAGTGCTGGATTCAGTGCAAGGACTCATCCTCAACTCGTCTCTCAGGCTGCTAGAGGTACTTTGTAGGGGTCCTGGTGCTGCTGGTGTCTGTCTGGTGCTGAGTGTCCATGCCTGGAAGGTGGATGGGACAGGCCGTTGGCAGCAGTGCTGGAGTCAGTGCACGGTTCATCCTCAACTCGTCCCTAAGGCTGCTAGAGGTACGGTGTGAGATTGTTATTGCTTTGTGCTGGTGGAGTTGTCAGGTGATGAATGTTCATGCTTGGTATGGGAGGGAGGGGACAGGCCACTAGCAGCAGTGCTGGAGTCACAGCAAGGACTCATCCTCAACGCCTTTCTGCGGCTGCTAGAGGTAAGCTGGATGCCTCCTGATGCTTCCTGGGTATCTGATGCTTCCTGGGTATCTGATGCTTCCTGGGTATCTGATGCTTCCTGGGTATCTGATGCTTCCTGGGTATCTGATGCTTCCTGGGTATCTGATGCTTCCTGGGTATCTGATGCTTCCTGGGTATCTGATGCTTCCTGGGTATCTGATGCTTCCTGGGTATCTGATGCTTCCTGGGTATCTGATGCTTCCTGGGTATCTGATGCTTCCTGGGTATCTGATGCTTCCTGGGTATCTGATGCTTAGTGTGCCGTTTGGAAGACGGAGGGGACAGGCCGCTAGCAGCAGTGCTGGAGTCGGTGCAAGGAATAATCCTCAACTCGTCTCTACGGCTGCTAGAGGTAAGCTGGAGGAGTCCTAGCGCTTGCTGAGTCTCTGATTCTCGCAGACAGCCTAGTGTGTTTCTTCCAAGGCACAGCAGACAGGCCGCTGGCAGCAGTGCTGGAGTCATCCTCAACTTCTCTCTCAGGCTGCTAGAGGTACTTTGTGAGAGTCCTGCTGGGGTCTGTCTGTCTAGTGTTGAGTGCTCAGGCTTGCTGCGCGGGGGAACAGGCCGCTGGCAGCAGTGCTGGAGTCGGTGCAAGGACTCATCCTCAACTCCTCTCTGCGGCTGCTAGCGGTACAGCCGTTGTCACGACTTCCTTTCTCACGTCTTTCTTCCCCTTCCACTTCCGTTTCCCCTCCTCCCTCCCCTCCCTCAGGATTCCAGGTCTCTCCTGCACGACCGCGTCGACCTCCTCTATTCCTGAAATGACGACACCCCCCCTCTCATCTTTCCGTCTGTCTCACCCTCCTCTTTCCTGCTTGTGCTTCTGTCTCCCCTCCCTCAGGATTTCAAGTCTCTCCTGCACGGTCGATTCAACCATCTCTCCTCTTGGACTAACGACTTCCTCTCTCTCATCTTCTCCCCCTCTCTGTCTTTCTTCTCACAAGATTCTTCCTTCAGGTCCCTTCTCCGTGACCCAGTCGATCTCCTCTCCTCCTGGACTGACGACTTCCTCTCGCTCATCTTCTCCCCTCTCTCTCTTTCTTCTGCCTATCTTCTCACACATTCCCTCCTTCAGGATTTCAGAACCCTTCTCCATGATCATGTGAATCTCCTCTCCTCCTGGACCCACCACTCCCTCTCTCTCATCTTCTCCCCCTCTCTGTCTTTCATCTGCATTTCTTCTCACACATTCCCTCCTTCAGGATTTTAGGTCCCTCCTCCATGACCGCGTTGACCTCCTCTCCTCCTGGACCGACGACTTCCTCTCTCTCGTGCAATCACAGCTCTCTGTGCTCTTCGGCTCCCTCAACTCCCACTTCCTCACCCTCTCTACCCCTCCTCCTGCCCACGTGCATCAATCCCCCACCGGCACCGAACGCCCCCCTCCCTCCACCCCTGGGTCAGGTAGGTGGTGGTAGTGGGCAGAAAATAGGGGTGTGTCTGGTTGCTCTCCGTGCTCTTCGGCTCCCTCAACTCCCACTTCCTCACCCTCTCTACCCCGCCTCCTGCCCACGTGCATCAATCCCCCACTGGCACTGAGAGGCCACCTCCCTCCACCCCTGGGTCAGGTAAGCCTGTGAAAGGTGCGCTTCTCTCTTTCTCCTGCCCTCTCTGTTCTCTTCGCCTCCCTCAACTCCCACTTCCTCTCCCTCTCCAACCTCCCCCCTGCCCACGTTCACCTATCTCCCACCGGCACTGAGCGTCCCCCTCCTTCTACACCTGGGTCAGGTAGGCTCCCTCATCTTCTTCCTATCCACCCCGCTCTGTGCCCCTCTCGTCCTTCAACCCTTACTTCGTTTTCTCCCTCTCCATCCCTCTCCATCCCTCTCCATCACTCTCCATCCCACTCCATCCCTCCCCCTCCTCACGCCCACGCGCATCAACCCTGTCACATGTGACGTGAGGCATGAAAAGCTGGGCATATTAGGCCGTAGGATCAGAGCTGGCCTATCCCTCTCCACCCTGCCGCCGGCCCACGTGCACCAGTCCCCCACCGGCACTAAAAATCCTCCTCTCTCTGCCTTGTGTTTGTGCCTCTCTCTACGTCATCTATGTCCATTTGTGCATGCATATGTTGCTACGTGATAAAAGTTGAGTTCTGAGACGGCTCGAAACTCAACTTTTATATCACATGCCTCTCTTTGCATCATCTATGTACATTTGTGCGTTGATATGTTGCTTGCACCAGCAGGGCCCATGCCCGTGGTGCTGCTGCCAGCATGTGTGTTTGCACTGCATGCATATGCATGGAAAGCGCCTCAAAGTATATGTACTTGTTTGTAATTCCTCATCCAATCCAACCATCCATGCTTGCAGCAGGAGGACCTGTACCTATGCTGGTGCTGCTGCTAGCGTGCCTCTCTCTCTTCATCCAACGCACTGCCTTGCCCAAGCTAGCCACGGTAAGTGAGTCTTTAGCAGCCTCTAGTTTGGCACCTGTTGGTGGAGTGACAGTGCCCTCCTGCTGCTGCTGCTGTTGCTGCTGCTAGCGCGCCTCTCTCTCTTCATCCAACACACTGCTCTGCCCAAGCTAGCCACTGTGAGTAAGGGCCTCAAGTCTGGCACCTGTTAAGGGAGTGACTGTGCTGCTGCTGCTGCTGCTGCTGCTGCTGCTGCTGCTGCTGTTGCTGTTGCTGCTGCTGGTGCTGCTGCTAGCGCGCCTCTCTCCCTTCATCCAGCACACTGCTCTGCCCAAGCTAGCCACTGTGAGTGAGCCATTGTAGTCAACCACTGTAGTGGATATCAAGCACATATGGCGAGTGTTAGGGTCTCGAGCTCAGCTCCTGTTTGGGGAGTGAAAGTGCTGCTGCTGTTGCTTCTGGTGGTGATGCTGGTGCTGCTACTGGTGCGACTCTCTCTCTTCATCCAGCACACTGGGCCCTCCAAGCTAGCCGATGTGAGTGGGTCTTTAGCAGCCAAGTGAGCAGGTACGAAGAGAGCAAGCGCACGAACTGCGCAAGCGTCTAGCCTCCCTTACAACTATAGCGCCATGGCTCCCACGCCTAGAAGACCCGCAAATCGCAGCATGCCTTCTAGCCGTATGTCTTTCAGCAAAGCCTTCTTACCTCCTTCGCACTGTTCCCCCTACAGACGACGTTTTAGAGGCGTACAGTGACTAGGACGACCACCTCTTAGACACGCTCATCTCTCTCTCTTCCTGCCAGACTATTGGGACCTAGACACCACAGAGGGGCAGTTAGCACGATCACAAGTGTTTCTTGCCGATCCGAATGGGGGGTCTAGGTATTCAGAGCGCACGCCAGCACGCCTCCCTAAGCTACGTCTGCAGCTGGGCACAAGCGATCCCAGTCCTAGCCAACAATTGCTGTACCCAAGCTACCCTTTCGTCGCCACTGATGTTGTTGACCACCTAGACCCACAAGCCACACATGCTTTAGCTGCCTTACCTCGGGAGCTTCGCCACCTCGTCCCCCCTTGGTCCGCGTTCCTACCTGGCTATCCGAACCGGCTCTTCTCTGCCCTTGCTCTAAGCATTTCTGCACATGCTGCGGAGCAGTTACGCGCAGCTGCTACCCGGCACCATCAGCTAGTCTGTTTAACTTCCCTTCAGGACCCATGTGCTGGTTTTTACGGCAAGCGTCCCTTAGCTATATCTGCAGTTGGCAGACAGGTGCACCAGTCTGCTGGTTTAACTTCCCTTCAAGACCCGTGCACCACCAGCAGACGGGTCCTGAAGGAAAGTTAAAGGGACTAGCCGATGGTGCTAGGTAGCAGCGGCGCGTAAACTGCTCACAGCATGTGCAGAAATGTGTTGAGCAAGGTCTAAGAGGTGGTCGTCCCAGTCACTGTACGCCTCTAAAATGTCGTCAGTAGAGGGAACTGTGCGAAGGGGATAAGAAGGCTTTACTGAAAGACATACAGCTAGAAGGTGCGCTGCAACTTGCGGGTTTTCTAAGCGTGGGAGCCATGGCGCTGCAGTTCTAAGGGAGGCTTGGCGCTTGCGCAGTTCGGCAGTGATGAAATCTGGCTCGCCTATAGGAACCCGTGCTACTATGATGCCCCTGTCCTAAGTGTACGGCCTTTTCTTTAGTCGCCGCAAAAACAGGATCCAGCACACTGTTCTGCCCAAGCTTGCCACGGTGAGTGATTCTTTAGCAGCCAGATGCGCGGGTGCAAAGGGAGCAAGCGCACGGTGGTGGGTCTACGGGCCCCAAGCCCCTAACTCCCCTAGGCCTAGCCTAGATTCCTAGGGGCTGTTAAGGAAGTGACGCTCCTGCTCCTGCTGCTGCCTCAACTCCCTCTTCTCCTTGTCAGACCTCATTAGGCCCCTCCCTTCTTCCTTCTGTTGTTTCCTCTGCTCATCTCTCAGGTGATTCAGGCCCAGCTTTCTCCCCTCCCCAAACATCCTGCATTCGGACAATGGGAAATATCATCTCTTGTTCTCTACGTCCTTCCTTCTGTTGTTTCCTCCCTTCTTATCCCAGATTCTCGAGACCCAGTTCGCTCCTCGCAATGTCCGATTAGATGATGACAGCGAGCAGCTCTTCTCCTCCTCAGACCTCATGCGTCAGTTTCATGACACTTCCGAGAAGCTTCTTCAGCAGGTGAGGAGGATTTGCAGAGAGTGCTGCTGAGAGTGCTTGCATTGTTAGTGAGGGAAAAACCAGAACATCAACAAGCAAAAAAAAAAAAAAATCGTACCGTAGTGTTTCTTTTTAACCATGTGCAGTGTGCGCCTTCACCCCTCTGCTCCACTGCCGCTCGTATGCTGCATCAGATGATCCTGCATCAGATGATCCTGCATCAGATGATCCTGCATCAGATGATCCTGCATCAGATGATCGCCAAGAAGTGATCCCCATTCCCCTCTTTCTGTCCCATGTGTGCACCAACCAGTATGTGGATCTTGAGGCACGTAAGCTGCGATAATCGCCAAGAGTGTTTCCACTCCACTCTCCATTCATCCCTGCTCCCCTGCTGCCCCCACACCTCTGCATCCCCCTCCCTGCCCATGTCCTACATGCAAAAACCAGTATGTGGATCTCTAGGCTCGTAAGCTGCACCAGATGATCGCCGAGAAGTGATCCCCCTTTACCCCTGCCTTATCACTGCTCTCTTCCCAGTTTTGAGTCGACTCAAAACTAGTGATCCCCATTTACGCCTGCCTTATCACTGCTCTCTTCCCCCCCAATTATCTCCCCCCCTCTCCTCGCCCTCTTTCCCTCTTCTCCCTGCCGTCTTGACGTGCACCAACCAGTATGTGGATCTAGAGGCTCGCAAGCTGCATCAGATGATCGCCAAGAGCTGATCCTCGTTCACCCCAGCCCTCCCTCCTTCCCCAATCTTCTCCTGATCTCTCCCCCATCCCCCTTCCCTCCCTCCCTGCCCTCCCCATGCGTGCACAAACCAGTATGTGGATCTGGAGGCTTGCAAGCTGCATCAGATGAGATGATCGCCATTCACCCCACCCATACCCCTGCTTCCCGCCCCAATACACCCCTCCCAACCCACCCCAACCTCTTCCCCATGCATGTACCATTCAGTATGTGGATCTGGAGGCACGGAAGCTGCATCAGATGATCGCCAAGAGTGTATCCACACCCAACTGGGTCAAGGTGCGTTCTTGCTTAGCTCACAATAACGTGATGGTCTGTTAAAGTGAAGGGAATATGCAAAGGAGGTCTTGGATTCGATCCACTGCTCAGTAGGAGGATACACTGCTCTTTCAGCCCAGCCCAGAAGGACACATGGGCAATAAGCATAGGCAGTTGAATGAATTCGTTTAACTCTTAATATATTTTCCCAGATCTGTTTTTTGAGGCTCCTAAAAAATCTGCTCGAGCTCTTTCAGGCCAGTAGGACTCTGAACTCGTTCAACTTTCTGTAGGTTTTCCCAGATCTGCAGTGATGCTGGTTTTCCCAGATCTGCACTGATTTGCTTGCATGGGCTTCTCGTCCAGTGATCTGCGTTGAAATGGCAATAAGCATGTGCCTTTTGAGGCGCCTAAAAAAATGCTTTAAAAGAGGCGCCTCAAAATTGCCTCAAAAGAGGCGCCTCAAAATTGCCTCAAAAGAGGCGCCTCAAAAATCACCTCTTTGCTTGCAAGGGCTTGTCGTCCATTAATCTGCATTGAATTGGCAATAAGCATGTGGTGAATTGGCAATAAGCATGTGGTGAATTGGCAATAGGCATGTGGTGAATTGGCAATAAGCATGTGGTGAATTGGCAATAAACATGTGGTGAATTGGCAATAAGCATGTGGTGAATTGGCAATAAGCATGTGGTGAATTGGCAATAAGCATGTGGTGAATTGGCAATAGGCATGTGGTGAATTGGCAATAAGCATGTGGTGAATTGGCAATAAACATGTGGTGAATTGGCAATAAGCATGTGGTGAATTGGCAATAAACATGTGGTGAATTGGCAATAAGCATGTGGTGAATTGGCAATAAGCATGTGGTGAATTGGCAATGAGCATGTGGTGAATTGGCAATAAGCATGTGCGGCAATCCCTTCTCCCCTCCTTTCCCCCCACACACAGTACTAGAAGCCTTTGGACGTGCATATGGTGGTGAATCTGATTTTTGCCTCTTCTCCCTCCTCTCCTCCACCCCTCCCCCTTCCATGCCTACCACTCTCACTTCCCTTCCCCGCACACAGTACGAGGACGTGCGTATGTGGTGGATTTGATTCTCCAGGAGTTGGAAACAGAGAAGATTCTTTGCCACCACTGTGCCTCCTTCGTCTCCCTCATCCCCTCTTTCTTCCCCCACGCCCCCCTCTCTTCTGTCACACACAGTACAAGGAGCCTCGGGATGTGCGTATGGTGGTGGATCTGATTCTCCACGAGGTGGAATCGGCTGAAGACTTAGTGGAACAGCATCTACTACCAAAGAATATGTTATGATCACTTATGTGCAACTCTTTATCGATGTAAAATCAAATCGGTCATTCCCTCTCTCTCCCTCACCCTCCGCTCCTCTACTGCTCCCACTCCCTCTATCTACAGTACAAGGAGCCTCGGGATGTGCGTATGGTGGTGGATTTGATTCTCCAGGAGGTGGAATCAGTGGAAGGCTCTGTGGAACAGCGTCTGCTTGCTCAGTGGATTTGTCTCTTCCCCATCCGACCTACCCTCCTTGTTCCCTCCCCCAACACACACAGTACAAGGAGCCTCGGGATGTGCGTATGGTGGTGGATTTGATTCTCCAGGAGGTGGAATCAGTGGAAGACTCAGTGGAGCAGCTGCTTGAACCCGGGGCTGAGCGCTCCCGAACCTCGCGAGGAGGGTCGGGAAGCAGCTACGGCAAGAGCCGCGGGAGTGCAGGCTCGGGAACGGGAGGAGTGGGGGGAGGAGGAGGGGGGGGCGGTGGGAGGAGTGGGATGGGAGGCGGGCAGAAGGAGAGGGGGGGCACGAGGGGGAGGGTTTTGGAGAGGGATGTTGCGAAGCTGTTTAAGCAACGAGTGGAGATCTTTACAAAGCTTGAATTCACTCAGGTAAGCGCCGTTGTGGGTAGGGTAGTCTGGGGATGAGGGAAAGGGTGTTAGAGAGATGTGGCAAAGCTGTTCAAGCAACGGGTGGAGATTTTTACCAAGCTTGAGTTCACTCAGGAGGTAAGCGCGGCCAAGGCGGATGGGGAGGTTGAGAGGTTTGAGACGTCTCAAAACACTCTTATTATCATGTGGCTATTTTTTTACCAAGCTTGAGTTCACTCAGGAGGTAAGCGCGGTCAAGGCGGACGTGGAGGTTGAGTGGGGGGAGATGGGGGGGAATTCGAACTCAACCTGAAGATCGAGCAGTGTGGTGAAGATCGCCATGAAGAGCTCTGATTTCTGCCTCCTCTCTACATCACGTCATGTGTATGTATAATACCTGTACCTCTAACTCTTCACATACCACCCCCTACTGCAGGTGTTGGTGCTTGCTACTATAGTGAAGCTCACTCTCAAGAGCTTCCAGGTGTGTGTGCGGCTGGAGACGTTCAACCGAGGAGGTTACCAGCAGATCAAGTGATTGCCCTTGTATACCCACCCCAACCAAACCACCATGGTTCCCACAGGTATCAGTGATGGCCACGGTGGTGAAGCTTACTCTCAAGAGCTTCCAGGTGTGTGTGCGACTGGAGACGTTCAACCGAGGAGGTTACCAGCAGATCAAGTGATTGCCCTTGTATACCCACCCCAACCAAACCACCATGGTTCCCACAGGTATCAGTGATGGCCACGGTGGTGAAGCTTACTCTCAAGAGCTTCCAGGTGTGTGTGCGACTGGAGACGTTCAACCGAGGAGGTTACCAGCAGATCAAGTGATTGCCCTTGTATACCCACCCCAACCAAACCACCATGGTTCCCACAGGTATCAGTGATGGCCACGGTGGTGAAGCTCACTCTCAAGAGCTTCCAGGAGTGCGTGCGACTGGAGACGTTCAACCGAGGCGGCTACCAACAGATCCAGTTGGATGCGCTCTTCCTCTGCGAGTCGCTGCGGGCTTATGTGGATGATGAGAGCGCCGTTGACACTCTCATGGACGAGGTGAGCTGGGCCTGACATGGGCTGAACGGTGGTTACGAGCAAACTGTGAAGTGGTTACCAGCAGATCCAGGTGGACTCGCTCTTTCTCTGCGAGTCCTTCAGGGCGTATGTGGACGATGAGAGCGCCGTTGACACTCTCATGGACGAGGTGAGCTGGGCTTGACATAGGCCGATAGGTGGTTACTAGCAAACTGTGAAGCGGTTACCAGCAGATCTACTTGGGCGCGCTCTTTCTGTGCGAGTCCTGAGGGCTTATGTGGACGATGAGAGCGCTGTTGACACTCTCATGGGCCCATGTGGGTCGACCTTCATATGTAGCTTGTGTGGCTTCACCTTTATGTTCCTGAACGACACCCGTGCTTTCTCCACATGCCTTCCTCCCTCCCAGGTGTGCACAGCAGCAGCAGGGCGCAGCCTAGATCCCACGTCCAGGCATGCAATTTCGATGGATTCATGTGCATCGGCCTTCATATGTTGCTGCCTCTTGTGCCATGTGCCGTTTTGAGACGTCTCAAAACTTGTGCCATGTGCCATGTGCCAAGTGCCGTGCTTGTTATCTTCATTTGCCCTCCCTCCATCCCAGGTGTGCACGGCAGCAGCAGAGCGCATTCTCGATCCCACATCCATGGATGCAGTTGCTACCCGTCACATGTGGCCTCGTGCACCTTGTACCTCACCCACACTTATGCTCCTTCACACTCCCTCCCTCCATCCCAGGTGTGCACGGCAGCAGCAGAGCGCATTCTCGATCCCACATCCATGGATGCAGTTGCTACCCGTCACATGTGGCCTCGTGCACCTTGTACCTCACCCACACTTATGCTCCTTCACACTCCCTCCCTCCATCCCAGGTGTGCACGGCAGCAGCAGAGCGCAGCCTCGATCCCACATCCATGGATGCAGTTGTCATGGATCGAATCATGCAGGCCAAGCGATCTCGAGCATCCACATAATGAACCCCTGCAACAGTTGGAGTTGTTATGTGATGGGGTTTCTGAGCATACACGAGTGTCAAACATCAGTGTCATGGGCTTCAGTTCAGGGCTACCGGTATCAACAATCAAAGTGACAGTACGTGCGGGCCAGTGACCTCACATGCATGGATGGATGTTGCTGGCATGAATTTTCAATCATTCATGAGAATGCCAAATATATGAGCACCAAGAGTATCAGGGCATCAACAAACACGTCAGGCCACAAAACACAGAATATGGATTATCAACACTCTCTCCGAAACGTGTCAGGATGGCCGAGTTGGTCTAAGGCGCCAGTTTCAGGTACTGGTCCGAAAGGGCGTGGGTTCAAATCCCACTCCTGACATAGTTGCCTAAGCTTTTTGCGTCCCAAACCTTTTGCGTCCCAAACCTTTTGCGTCCCAAACCTTTTGCGTCCCAAACCTTTTGCGTCCCAAACCTTTTGCGTCCCAAACCTTTTGCGTCCCAAACCTTTTGCGTCCCAAACCTTTTGCGTCCCAAACCTTTTGCGTCCCAAACCTTTTGCGTCCCAAACCTTTTGCGTCCCAAACCTTTTGCGTCCCAAACCTTTTGCGTCCCAAACCTTTTGCGTCCCAAACCTTTTGCGTCCCAAACCTTTTGCGTCCCAAACCTTTTGCGTCCCAAACCTTTTGCGTCCCAAACCTTTTGCGTCCCAAACCTTTTGCGTCCCAAACCTTTTGCGTCCCAAACCTTTTGCGTCCCAAACCTTTTGCGTCCCAAACCTTTTGCGTCCCAAACCTTTTGCGTCCCAAACCTTTTGCGTCCCAAACCTTTTGCGTCCCAAACCTTTTGCGTCCCAAACCTTTTGCGTCCCAAACCTTTTGCGTCCCAAACCTTTTGCGTCCCAAACCTTTTGCGTCCCAAACCTTTTGCGTCCCAAACCTTTTGCGTCCCAAACCTTTTGCGTCCCAAACCTTTTGCGTCCCAAACCTTTTGCGTCCCAAACCTTTTGCGTCCCAAACCTTTTGCGTCCCAAACCTTTTGCGTCCCAAACCTTTTGCGTCCCAAACCTTTTGCGTCCCAAACCTTTTGCGTCCCAAACCTTTTGCGTCCCAAACCTTTTGCGTCCCAAACCTTTTGCGTCCCAAACCTTTTGCGTCCCAAACCTTTTGCGTCCCAAACCTTTTGCGTCCCAAACCTTTTGCGTCCCAAACCTTTTGCGTCCCAAACCTTTTGCGTCCCAAACCTTTTGCGTCCCAAACCTTTTGCGTCCCAAACCTTTTGCGTCCCAAACCTTTTGCGTCCCAAACCTTTTGCGTCCCAAACCTTTTGCGTCCCAAACCTTTTGCGTCCCAAACCTTTTGCGTCCCAAACCTTTTGCGTCCCAAACCTTTTGCGTCCCAAACCTTTTGCGTCCCAAACCTTTTGCGTCCCAAACCTTTTGCGTCCCAAACCTTTTGCGTCCCAAACCTTTTGCGTCCCAAACCTTTTGCGTCCCAAACCTTTTGCGTCCCAAACCTTTTGCGTCCCAAACCTTTTGCGTCCCAAACCTTTTGCGTCCCAAACCTTTTGCGTCCCAAACCTTTTGCGTCCCAAACCTTTTGCGTCCCAAACCTTTTGCGTCCCAAACCTTTTGCGTCCCAAACCTTTTGCGTCCCAAACCTTTTGCGTCCCAAACCTTTTGCGTCCCAAACCTTTTGCGTCCCAAACCTTTTGCGTCCCAAACCTTTTGCGTCCCAAACCTTTTGCGTCCCAAACCTTTTGCGTCCCAAACCTTTTGCGTCCCAAACCTTTTGCGTCCCAAACCTTTTGCGTCCCAAACCTTTTGCGTCCCAAACCTTTTGCGTCCCAAACCTTTTGCGTCCCAAACCTTTTGCGTCCCAAACCTTTTGCGTCCCAAACCTTTTGCGTCCCAAACCTTTTGCGTCCCAAACCTTTTGCGTCCCAAACCTTTTGCGTCCCAAACCTTTTGCGTCCCAAACCTTTTGCGTCCCAAACCTTTTGCGTCCCAAACCTTTTGCGTCCCAAACCTTTTGCGTCCCAAACCTTTTGCGTCCCAAACCTTTTGCGTCCCAAACCTTTTGCGTCCCAAACCTTTTGCGTCCCAAACCTTTTGCGTCCCAAACCTTTTGCGTCCCAAACCTTTTGCGTCCCAAACCTTTTGCGTCCCAAACCTTTTGCGTCCCAAACCTTTTGCGTCCCAAACCTTTTGCGTCCCAAACCTTTTGCGTCCCAAACCTTTTGCGTCCCAAACCTTTTGCGTCCCAAACCTTTTGCGTCCCAAACCTTTTGCGTCCCAAACCTTTTGCGTCCCAAACCTTTTGCGTCCCAAACCTTTTGCGTCCCAAACCTTTTGCGTCCCAAACCTTTTGCGTCCCAAACCTTTTGCGTCCCAAACCTTTTGCGTCCCAAACCTTTTGCGTCCCAAACCTTTTGCGTCCCAAACCTTTTGCGTCCCAAACCTTTTGCGTCCCAAACCTTTTGCGTCCCAAACCTTTTGCGTCCCAAACCTTTTGCGTCCCAAACCTTTTGCGTCCCAAACCTTTTGCGTCCCAAACCTTTTGCGTCCCAAACCTTTTGCGTCCCAAACCTTTTGCGTCCCAAACCTTTTGCGTCCCAAACCTTTTGCGTCCCAAACCTTTTGCGTCCCAAACCTTTTGCGTCCCAAACCTTTTGCGTCCCAAACCTTTTGCGTCCCAAACCTTTTGCGTCCCAAACCTTTTGCGTCCCAAACCTTTTGCGTCCCAAACCTTTTGCGTCCCAAACCTTTTGCGTCCCAAACCTTTTGCGTCCCAAACCTTTTGCGTCCCAAACCTTTTGCGTCCCAAACCTTTTGCGTCCCAAACCTTTTGCGTCCCAAACCTTTTGCGTCCCAAACCTTTTGCGTCCCAAACCTTTTGCGTCCCAAACCTTTTGCGTCCCAAACCTTTTGCGTCCCAAACCTTTTGCGTCCCAAACCTTTTGCGTCCCAAACCTTTTGCGTCCCAAACCTTTTGCGTCCCAAACCTTTTGCGTCCCAAACCTTTTGCGTCCCAAACCTTTTGCGTCCCAAACCTTTTGCGTCCCAAACCTTTTGCGTCCCAAACCTTTTGCGTCCCAAACCTTTTGCGTCCCAAACCTTTTGCGTCCCAAACCTTTTGCGTCCCAAACCTTTTGCGTCCCAAACCTTTTGCGTCCCAAACCTTTTGCGTCCCAAACCTTTTGCGTCCCAAACCTTTTGCGTCCCAAACCTTTTGCGTCCCAAACCTTTTGCGTCCCAAACCTTTTGCGTCCCAAACCTTTTGCGTCCCAAACCTTTTGCGTCCCAAACCTTTTGCGTCCCAAACCTTTTGCGTCCCAAACCTTTTGCGTCCCAAACCTTTTGCGTCCCAAACCTTTTGCGTCCCAAACCTTTTGCGTCCCAAACCTTTTGCGTCCCAAACCTTTTGCGTCCCAAACCTTTTGCGTCCCAAACCTTTTGCGTCCCAAACCTTTTGCGTCCCAAACCTTTTGCGTCCCAAACCTTTTGCGTCCCAAACCTTTTGCGTCCCAAACCTTTTGCGTCCCAAACCTTTTGCGTCCCAAACCTTTTGCGTCCCAAACCTTTTGCGTCCCAAACCTTTTGCGTCCCAAACCTTTTGCGTCCCAAACCTTTTGCGTCCCAAACCTTTTGCGTCCCAAACCTTTTGCGTCCCAAACCTTTTGCGTCCCAAACCTTTTGCGTCCCAAACCTTTTGCGTCCCAAACCTTTTGCGTCCCAAACCTTTTGCGTCCCAAACCTTTTGCGTCCCAAACCTTTTGCGTCCCAAACCTTTTGCGTCCCAAACCTTTTGCGTCCCAAACCTTTTGCGTCCCAAACCTTTTGCGTCCCAAACCTTTTGCGTCCCAAACCTTTTGCGTCCCAAACCTTTTGCGTCCCAAACCTTTTGCGTCCCAAACCTTTTGCGTCCCAAACCTTTTGCGTCCCAAACCTTTTGCGTCCCAAACCTTTTGCGTCCCAAACCTTTTGCGTCCCAAACCTTTTGCGTCCCAAACCTTTTGCGTCCCAAACCTTTTGCGTCCCAAACCTTTTGCGTCCCAAACCTTTTGCGTCCCAAACCT